CGATAAATAAATTTATCATTATAAATTTTACGAGATGCAGTCGCCGGGTAGTGTTGCTTCGAAGCTTATGCGACTTGTCACTTGTATCCACGATATTGCGAATTATTTAAAATCTTGGCTAAGGAGCTCGAAGACAACGATTTCCACGGCAACGCAGGGCAACGGGCCACGTTCGCTGCCCCAAATCGACGGACATTCACGAAGAGTTTCCGGACCTTCGGAGACAACCAATGTGTTTTATGACACTACCTGACTAAACGAGCACCTCCCCCAAAGAAACTCCGAAGAGGACACAAATGTCTCTCCCAGTGGCAGCTCCGTAATACGAACGCTGTTGTTCCGCGCTTATGTTGTCTGTCGCTCTTATTCGTAATATTTTGCCGTCTTATGGAACTTTGAATGATTTGTTTGTATTTTTTTTTTTTTTTTTTTTTTTTTTTTTTTTTAATCTTCCGACGCCATTGCATCACGCCTCCGAATTATTCTTTTTCGCGTTCTTTTATCACAATTTTTCTAATTTTTAATCCAAGATAAAGTTTTTCACGTTGATGTAGAAATCATCGGGCGGCGAGGCAATAATATGCAAATTTTCAAACGTTCATTTAAATGTAAAATTTTAATTTAAATTGCAATACATTTCGAATGTTATTCTTTCAATATTTTCGTAAATACATGATGAGCATCCATTTATGAAAAAGGCTAATAATAATAATAATAATAATAATTGATGATAATAATTGATGATAATAATTGATGATAATAGTACCATGAGGGTTTAATAATATTTTTCGAAATGTCGCTATTTGAAAATATAATAGATGTTGAGCCTAACGAGTACACATCTCGAATTACACATACCTAACGATACTATTATTTAAATGTTTTTCACGTAAATTTGCACATCGTAAATTGCTAAATAAATAAATAAATTTTGTATTTACAACTAAAGTATTTTGTTAAATCAAGGGTTAACAGCGGCTTTGCATTAAATATAGTTATAAATACTATAGCCAATGTACTTATAATCATTAATGAATAATTAATTATACTTGAAGCATCTATTGTCGAAGAGCTGTTTTTTTCTTTCTTTCTTTTTTTCTTGCTCTTCTTCTATTTTTCCAACGCTTGGTCGTTTTGTATTTTTAAACGATGCACTTATTACATCACCTGCACTGAACGACAAATTGACTTATTCGCAACTAATTGAAGTGAGTCTGATTCTTAAAAGCTGTAGGGACTGTAGGGATTATTAGTAATAACCACTGTATATACAAAACCTTTGGTAATTGTGAATATCGATTTTGAATTTTCCTAAAATGAGAGTATTGTTGGTGGGTTTCGTTAAACGAAAGGGTCAGTGGCTTTTATTGGCGACCCTATTATATCGTCGACCCAAGGCGTTTGGGCTTGACCGCGAAAAGCACACGATGAAAGTTCGGCAGCCATGGAATAAACCATATTTTTACCTAAATTTCCTAAATTTAGCAATACCCGTAAACACAATAGCTCGCGAATATCGAGAATATGAGAAACATTGGACTGAGCCAATTTGGCGATTGATCGATGGGCACTCGACGAGGCATCCACCTTACCTTTATCGACGAATCTCTTTGAATTGAAGGCCCAGCGCAGCTTCCTCAATGTCACTGCATATTGTACAAAGTACGTTGGGCATTTTATTTGGACATATTAATCGCGCTTACGGGTATCACAATAGTGCAACATCAAAACGCTGATGTACGTGATATCGTAATTGCCCATCGAAATCGACAAATCATAAAGATTCGCGTTGACTGAAATCCAGATTCACGTCACCTATGCGCGCGGCAGTATGTAGAATTTAGTTTGAGCAATGACCGCAAGAGCGAGGCTTTAACGATGCGAGTAAGAGCGATGATTAAGAATATGCTCGTGACCGTCGTTGTGCTCGAGGCGCGAAAGGCACGTAAGAATTTCATCGATTATCTTTACGTGGGAGAATGGGATTTTGATTATGTCACATTGCTTGGCGCGTAGCTTCGGAAGTCCTAGAAGCGTACACACGCTCGTGTTTATTGTCGAATAAATATGTCGATCGCTTGTGTCGCGAGATACGCGCCACGTTACCTTTACCGTTTGCCATTTATCTATCGTCATAGTATTTACATATTATTCTAGGAACGAGGTAATAGAAATTAAAATCATTGCAAAGATGATTTTCACGCAGACCTCTGCCTTAATATTATTAATGCTTGGATATCGATCGATCGATCGGTCGCTCGATCGTGAATGTATTGAGCATGTTGTTGCTTATTAGACTTGAGCGCAAGTGCGTTCGTTACATTTAACGTGATTAAAAATTTCTGCTTTGATATATTTTTCAAGTTGTATCTCCGATTAACGTTGAGCAATAAAAAAGAAGAAAAAGAAAAAAGAAAAATCTGACACAATAATAAAAGCTGATGAATTTAACAATGATGTACCGCTTTCGTTTCAAATACATTTTTAATCATTAATCCGTGGAATTCTTTTAATTAATAATAAACTTAATAAAGTACATAAACAAAAACAAAAAAAAAATAAATATCTATATATATATATATATATATATATATATAAAGTAAATTAATAGCGTAAATGTGCATTTATGATTATTTCCGAACAATTTTGCATAAATTATTATTGTTACTCTGCTTAATAAAAATAGATTATGAAATAAATAATCGTTATTAATAGGAGTTGAAGAAAATTTTGCGCGTGCAGCAGCAACGAATCTTTTCAGTTCGTTAAGTAATAACCAAGTTATATTTAATCGATAACTTAGGTCTATTGACAAATTATCATTGCGTATTATTTGATAAAAATGATTTCGTTAGTGAATCTAACTGAATTTCATCAATTCAATGAATATCTTACGTAAATAACATTATTGAATAAAAGTTTTTCGTGCTTTCAAATTAAATCTCATTGTTCCGAATAACAAAAGCCCTTGTTCGCTTTAGACTTTTATTAACGGGCAAATTTATTATCACAAGAAACATGATGAAACATGGTGATTAATGCTTAGAACTACTTTTATTTATGTACAATGACAGTTTGTCGGCACAGTCGAGTCCAGCAGACAATATTCTAAATAATAGAATTTAAATAAACGTTAAAAGCGAAGAATAAGTATCGCTAACAATGGCTTTCCCAAAGGTTAGCTTCGATCATAAATATCTATTACTATTAAGAACTTATTGTTAAATATGTATGAACTATTTATTCGGGCTCTTTTTTCTTATTTACGTAACCTTTATAATATCGTAAACAGTACTATTTTTAATTTGTTTATAATCTTTTGTATTTTACAATAATAAAAATATAATAATAATTTTAATGGCAATGATTGGTAATGTGTTCAGCACTGTTTTACAAATTATATTGAAAATACGCAGAAATGTAATTAATTACTCCAAGTCGCATTTAGCTAAATTCCTGTAAAATAATTATCTCTATATTAAAATAGCAAGGAAATTAAGTGGAAAATACCCCATGGAAATAATACCTATACAATATCAAATAATATCGAAATTTAATACCAAATCTTAAAACAATTCGAATATAATTTTTTACTATTGCTCAGCTTCTTTGCGCCTCCCCCCACCCCTCTTTCCCGCGCGCGTGCACACACCAACACACTCTCCCTCTCTCTCTCTCTCTCTCTCTCTCTCTCTCTCTCTCTCTCTCTCTCTGTGCTACTCTTGCTCTTCCTCGCTACTCACCCCCGTCTCGTACTCGCACCGTTGTCCACTATGACTTCGAGTCTTGATCTACTTTCTTCTTCTTTTTTGTTCGTTTAATGTGTGTTAGAGAGTGAACAATAAAGAGTAAAAGAACTAGTCGAGTGGGAGGTAGAAAAGTGTTTCATGAACATGACTGTGAGATAGTTAAAGGCTGCGCTGCAGCAGCTGCTATAAATGAGGAAGCGTACGTAAGGTTATTTCAAGGATGAACGGAGAAGAAGTGAGAGATAATGAGAGAGAGAGAGAGAGAGAGAGAGAGAGAGGGGAGGGAGAGAGAGAGAGAGAGAGTGTGTCAGAAGAAAGGGATAGCTATGATAGTTCACCGACGCATTCGACATTTAGGTATCCGTGCTTTGACTGTGCTGCCCTTTAGTAGACGTAACTCGAAATGCTTAAAAGAATAATAAAGTGTAAATTTTATTGCGTTACATTTCAAAACGAGACGTCGCGCGTGCTATATTGGCTTTGTCAGTGGAAGCTGAAGTGCTGCTAAGTGCGTATATTTCGATATCCCCCACCGAGTGATAACAATAAAAATTTACAGCTGAAAGACACTCGTCTCTATTCCTCCATCTCGTTCCATCCGACCACTCAGTATACCTTGGCACACATGCAGAGAAAAAGTCACGAATGCGACTGTGTGACGTCGGTGTGGCAAAGTGCTGCACAGTCCCGCGCGTGTATACAAGAGACCAAGGAAAACGTAATCGCGTACAAAGTGTAACGGAGAGACGTAACTTTGCGCAGCTCGTTTGCAATTATTCATCTATTTGCCATTAATTTTCTTAATTAATGCGCCGTCTTAAAAGTTATACCACATGTGACCCTGACTGTTCTCGGCGCTTTGAGAAGTGGGGATAGACGAGAAGTAAAAAAACAAGCAGGATCGGGTGCACTTCTCGACTGTATTGATATACAACATACACGCATAACATCGCATATATACACACATTCATACATTTTATATATATTATATATATTATATAAATTACAAATATATATATATATATATATATATATATATATAAGTATGGATTTAAACGCATGCGGATGCATATGTGCGCATTATGTAAATAAATAAATATATATACATATATACGCATATATATATATATATATATATATATATATATGCATGCATGCATGCATATTATATATAAAACTGTGTATATACGTGTGCGTATATGCATATATGTTTATGTATGCATATGAATATATATATATATATATATATATATATATATATATATATGCGTATATATGTACATATGTATATATATACACATATCTCGTGCATGAAACTTCATAATGGACGTGAATGAGCTGGATCAGGATTTGCTGCATCAGTTCAGTTGCCTTGGAACGACGGATAAGGATGATCTCGTGAAACAGTTACAGAAGGTGTTGGCTGGATGTCAGCTTAACGAGACCACAGCCGCTTTCTTCCTGGACATGAACAATTGGTACATTAACCTCTTCAGAGGCTTTGTTTTTGACTACATTTTTTGCGATTTGTGTCCCCCTTCCCTCGTACGTGATTGTGTACATTGGCGAAACAACATAACCTATACTTGTCGATAAAATTTTCATACATACCAAGCTATAAAAATATATTTATCTATTAATTTCGATGAATCTGTGTTGAAAATTTATTGTTCAAAGATATGTTACTACGTTGTATTAAATTATAAATGCTTTGTTAAAAATTTTTGTATTTTCCAACTAATGGTTTTATTATTAATTATTTATCTATTTATTTATTAAAATGGGCATAATAAGTTCGCCCTTTAAATGCTTAATAACAATCATATCTGGTTATTATTTTGGCATTCGTCGATCGTTCGACCTTGGCTTCATTAATAGCTATCGATCCTGATGCTTATATTACAATGTTCTATAATAAAAAAAATAATTGTATAGTAATATCTAATGCTAATAGTTTGAAGATAAATATTGAAGAACATTAACCAAATTTAAAAGTCCAATATACAATTTCTATTTTCTTTAAGTCATACCTATAATTTAAACGGTTCGTTTTTTTTATCATATCTAATGGTAAAATTCATAAGTTTATACTTATAGAATCTGTCGTTTAAAATAGTGACATGAAGTATTTAATTTAATCTAGTCAAACAAAATTTTTATTCAAACTCAAATGTCTATTTAATTTTGAACTTTATTAACAAATAAGTTCTAAATTTTACTCATCAATTAAAAATTTATTTAATATAGATTACAGTATTTTTTATTATAATTTAAAAAATGATAATTTTTTTTTTGTTAAGTTAAGTTAATTAGGAATATTCTCTTTATTTCAGGAATTTGCAAGCAGCAATATGTAGTTATTTTGACTTTGAAACGACGTGTAATAAACTTCCATGTATGACATTAGTGTGTGATTCTACAATCGGGGAAGGAGAATCTGTGCCACCAAACACAAAATTTAGGAAATCATGGCGTGTAGAAAACAGTGGCACAGAACCTTGGCCCGAAGGGGTTTGTTTGAACTATACAAGTGGTGAACAAATGGGAGAATGTATAAGAGTACCAGTTCCCTGTTTACCTGCCAAAGAGATAATAGAGCTTAGTGTGGATTTAACAAGTCCTTCGGATTTAGGTGTTTTTCAAAGTAAATGGAGGATGATGACGTCAAATGGCTCCTTTTTTGGCGGTACTTAAACATGCATATGTTAATATATTTTAAGTAGTAGTCCTATAGATTATTTTAACTTCATTTTATATTATAAGCAGGCTATGTATCAGCTTTCTAAGAAATTTAATAAGCAAATTAATCATTAAATTTTCTTGCTATAAATTACTTCAATTTACTTTAACATATAAAAATCTAAAATTTTCCTATTAATAATTATTGATCTACTGTAATTTATTATTTTGAGAATGCCAAGAATAATATTCAACATTATTTTCAGACATAATATGGGTGATAATATCAGTAAGCGACAGTGGTACTCTGGCAGTTACTCAACAACTTCACCAACTAAGTACTTCACAATCAAACGATGATCAGATGTGGTAGCCTTAGTTTTTGACAACTCTTTGCGTGATAAGAAATCCTTTTTTTAAGATAATAAAACAAACAAATTTTGTTATTCTTTACATACAAATTTTTATTCTTTTATTTTATTTTATTTTTTTTTTTTTTTGTCCTTTTATGTAAAAAAGTCTTATTTGTTTTAAAATATAATGATGAAAACTAATTTTCTCTTTAATAATTATAAGAAACATTTTTATAATTATCTAGTTGAAAAAGAGTCAGTAATATATCATGTTTATAAGTAAAATTATACAGAGAAAATATATTTGTTTTACGTCATCTTCATGATATTGTAACAACATCAAATTTACAGTTATTTTTTTTAAAATTGAGGTTTGGTGTAAAATGGTTTTTTTACATATGTCCAATATTCTTAAAGACAGTTTTAATCCTTTTCATAATTATATAGATGAAATTATCTCTTGTAAGTTATTCTTACTTAAATCATAAAATGGAGCAAGTTTAGGTTTATTACTGTCAAAATATAACATCATTGTGAATTTTTATTGACATTCTTTTTTCTGTTATGCTTGAATTTAAAAATCTCTTTGATGTAATATTTTGACAACTACTTTGTAAACGATATTTAAAAGTCATAAATATAACATTAAGATATAAGTTTATTAAGAATATAATTTTTATTAGAAAATAAAAGTATAGTTATTCATAAAAGACCTTGTAATACTTAGTTCCCTCTTACATTTAAAATATTAAACAGCCATTGGCATAGAAAGTTTTGCATGAGGATGATAATCATTTAATTGGAAATCACTTGGCTTAAAGTCATCAATGTTCTCCACTTTTCTTGTTATTTGCAATTTTGGAAATTTTTTTGGTATACGGGTGATTTGTTCTTTCAGTACTGACATATGGTTGAGATACACATGGCAGTCACCCATTGTATGAATAAATTCTCCTGGCTGTGAAGAAATGTACATTAGTAAAAAATAATTCTATTATATTTCTATTAATTATTATTCTTTAAAAAAAAAAAAAACAATTTGTTTAGCTCATGCACAAAAATAGGCTAATATTAAATGAAACTGGAGAGCTATAATGTAATTTGTAAAAAAATAAATAAAAGTTAATATCTATTTTTTAATAATGTGGAAAAAATAATAATAATAATTCTGTTTTGTCGTTAATTATTTGTTAATTGCATGTGCTTATAAATTTATCAAATAACGTTATTACCTTTAAATTTGTTATATGAGCAATCATGTATGTCAATAAAGAATAAGAAGCAATGTTAAATGGCACACCGAGACCTATATCGGCGCTTCTTTGGTAAAGTTGACAAGAAAGTTCACCATCGGCTACATAAAATTGAACAAGAATATGACAAGGAGGAAGAGCCATTTTTGGAATGTCAATTGGATTCCAAGCACACATTATTATTCGCCTATCATCAGGTGTGCTTTGTATTTTATCAATTACATCTTTTAATTGATCAATACCTAAAATATATCAAAAACACGCATTACAATCAACGATTAATGACGGTATTAAAATTTCAACATATGACAAGTAAACATAATCATAAATTGTTCTAACAGTATGATCAATTGATAAAACATTCTTTATAATAATATTTTTCTAAAATATCGATCAATATACTTTTTATTCGAATTCTTTTCAGTTCTATACTTTTAATTTATATTGTTATAATTAATACAGATGCTCGAAAATTCATTGGATCATCAAGAATTTTCTAATAAGTTAGAGATTCTTAGTTGGCAAAGTCGTAAGAGAACGAGAAATAGAAGCTTTGGAATAAAAGTAACTTATGAGCAGTTATTTAAAATTTAATTAAACAAGCGTATTTAAAGCTATTCGATACCTTGATTTCTATAATCTGTGTGCATATTTATATATTTTGCTCCAAAGTGTCTCCATTGAAAGCCATACACAGGGCCTAAATCTCCCTCTTCTCGATCGGTGAATTTACATAAATCCAAAAATTCACGTGAACTATTAGCATCCCAAATGTGTACATCTTTTTCAGATAATTCTTTTGCATTTGTTGAACCTCTAATGAACCAAAGTAATTCCTCGACCACTCCCCGCCAAAATACACGTTTGGTTGTCAATAATGGAAATACCCCTGAGTAAGCAATAATGTTAATCTATTCATAATTATATTATTAATTTTAAAGTGCACATCTTATAAGGAACATTACAAATATATTTCTCACTATTTTGGATGTAGAGCAAATATAAAAATGTGTCAATACAATAGAAGTATTAATATCAGCATTAGATTTAAAAAAATATGATTATAATATTGTTCCAATATACTTTATTTAATAATTTTTATTAAGTTAAGTTTCTATATTTAATTATTGTTAAAATTCTTTTAACTACCCTTTCAATTAAATCCTTGAAGAAGTCGAAAAAAAAAAAAAAAAAAATTAACAGTTCTACCAGAGAGACAAATTATTAAATTTTATAAATGAATGAACTTAACATAATAATTAATAATAATCTATACTTACTTTAAATCACTAAGATTAAAATAAAGTAGTAAGAAATACTTAAAAACATTAATTCAAGTTAATTAAGTAGTTTATAAAATAAAGTAGTAAGAAATACTTAAAAACATTAATTCAAGTTCATTATTACTGGATTTGTAATATTTCTATTTTAATAATTTATTTTAAGTATGTTATTTTAAAGCATTTAAATATAACGTAATAAATAACACAATTGTAAGATTAATAAATAATATGCTGATAAAATCAGGCGCAAATAAAAAACAAATACAGCATTTCATTTTGTTCTTTATTACATGTTTAAAAATACTTATTATGTATCAATTACAACAATAAAAAATTGGATAATACACATAGTACATTAAAGATTTTAAATATAAAAATGAAATATTTCATATTTCATATAATAATTTCATATTATTGAATCTGAGCTTTATAGATACAAGTTGCTTGATAAATTTAAGTTTTCTATTTAAAGGTTACACTTTGAATTATACCAATAAACCTGATTTTAACATATATGCCAATTATGGTTGATGCAAATATATATAAAAATATAAATCAATCAATATTAAAAATCATTAATTAATAATAAATCAAACTTTACCATCTCTCAAACTAAAACGCATTTGGGTGCCAAAAATGGAACGAGTTCCCACACCTGTACGATCTGATTTTAAAGCACCCTCTTCCATTATTTTTTTAATTATATTTAAATATTGATACTCTTCCTCATTTTTCGTGGTCTCATCGATAATATGTGCTTTTCCATTTTGTTCCATGTTTTCAATTTTGCACTAAACGATTTGTCTTATTTCCCGCCAAAATGCTCTTGCCACATCAATATCGTACGTTTTAGCTGCAATGGAACGCAACACTTTTAATCAACAATATATATATTTCGATGTAAGAATCATTCAACCGTTGATAACACATTTATGTCGAATATAATAGATGCATGCGTTTTTGTCTATATATATATATATATATATATATATATATATATATATATATATCGATTATCTCATTCGGGAGTTTGCCGGTATAGTATGTATATATATATATATATATATATATATATATACACACATCACATGATCCCCTCTCTACTATAGCGTGCAAACTCGTGAACGAGATAATATTTCAAATTTAATTGCCTGATGCCATAAGAGACTTTTCTGAAAAACCATAAATAATTGAGCATGAAATCACAATGCTAAAAATTAATTCATGAGTTTTTGTAGTTTAACTAAATGCCAAAAAAAACTACCTAAGAGACGAGGTCATTCGTTCTGTCGCAAAATTTTTAACAAAACTTAAATAATTTTGTATTATTTTTTAAATAAAGCATTCCAAATATGATTTATGGAGTAGAGCGATACGAGACGTCGCCATGAATCAACATTTCACAAATCAATGCGATCTTAAGATTAGCGTTTATTATAATGTAAGTGCGCGAGATTTCGAAGTTACTTATTGTTCGTAATACAAGGACTATTTCATAATTTCATTACTCGAACGGAGCATGGGCAATCCAATACCTGAACGTTAAGCTCATAACCGATACAATCAACCCAGGTCGTAGGAGGTTTGACTTTGTTGATATTGAGCCTAATCCTTGATTCTGCGCATAAGTTTATCTTCATTGATGAAGGACAATTAACATCCGTTACCCACGGCAAAGCATTCGCAGAAATGTAATCAGTGGGGATGAACCTAAGTGCCGTTACCTTTTACGACATTCCTTACTCAAGGGTCGAAAGAAACAAATTTTGAGAATTCGAGAAATGAAATTTATGCACATCGTGCATAAAGGCATAATTGTAAGTATGCGAGCGTGCTTTGCACAATTGCACGATTTCGCAAGAATTGCGAAAATATAAGGCATGGATAATTAATTACCTTACAATGACGAACAATACTAAAGCTTAAAAGTAAAAGTCAACTAAGTAATAATAATTAACCTGATAATAAAATTAATGGATAAAGTTAAATGATATACGATTTACAAGTTGAAGAAAATTCCTTTCGGTAATCTCAGTCGATTTGTTAAAGCTCCTTACATATGTTATCGAAACAACTACTTCAATCTCTATTGGTATATTTTAAGATTTTGAAAAAGTTATTTATTTATTTTTGGTTTTGTTTTATATTTTTAATCATTATAATGCGAACAAACAGGTGATATCTTCTTCAATATTTCACTTTCTGACTAAATATTTTTATTAATTAGGACGTGCAATTGATTTAAAACCCCATCGAGAATGTTGTAAAAGAAAAGTTGTAAATGCGTTGTATTCTATTAATACAAAATTTATGCGAGCGATTTTAAATACCTGACATATACGATTAAAGATTTGCGAGGAGAAAAATTAATTTTCGTAAAAAATACGCATCTCCAATGTGTATTAATAGTAAAAAATAGATTAAAAAGTTATATTGCTTTATGCATATTGGCATAAAATTGAAATATAAAATAAAAATACGTTATTCGCTGCACATTTAAAGAATTTTAATACGCAATTATTATTTATTTATCAATTTTATGATTGAAATAGCGATTGGAACTTATTCATTTAATACTTTATACTCTGATAAAAAAAAAAAATTATAATCTGAATTTCAATCTTAAATGTAAACAGTAAAATAATGTTAATGATAATAGATTTTAAACGAAACATTTAATAAAAATGTTATAATCGTCAATCGATTTTCATTACAACGTTTTGGTGTTAGGTTAGAAAGATAATTATTTTTATTTATACCTGAATTTTTATTAATTCCTTAATGTCATAGTAATAAAATTGCTCAAACTCGTCAACTGTAGTAGTGACCTATTGGTATACGTTTTTCTTATTTTTCTTTTATGTTTATTTGTGTATAAACAATGCATAAACACAGAATGATATGCATATGCACACACGTACGCGAGCCTCCATACATCCAAATAGGTTTATATAAAAGCATGCAAATGCAAATACTCACATATTCAAATATTCACAGCCACCTCGTCATGCGCGCATATAAAATTATATAAACAATATATTGGAAACCCGGCAAGATTAGAATTCACTCTCTAATTTTCATCAAAGAAACGATATTTATTCTTTGGTTTAAGTTGTATAGTTTAGTATAAAAAAAAAAAAAGAAGAATTTTAATATATACTTAAACATGGATGTACATTGTTGATAATATACAATGTTTAATAATCGTTTAAATGAGAATTAATGAAATGATAAGATATTATATTGTATGTGGCTGTGTCATAGTTTACTTAAAGAGTCGACATTTAACTTGAGAATGACACATTTTACGTATTAATAATCTAATGAATCTTGAAGTCTTGTTTACAATGGATGTTAAATATTAATTTTTGAAAAACTTACATCTATGCATTCTCATTCAATATTTAATTTCGTAACGGATATTTAATTACATTCATAGGATTTGCCAATTTTTGAAATTCATTTACAAAAGCAACTGTATGGTTGCTCTGGCAATTTTACTTTGCTTAACTAGTTTGCAAATAATTCGCTATAGTCTTCGGAATTTATCTTTAATGAAATATTAATAACGATGAGCTTTATATTCGTGAAGATTTTTCATTTCTTTATTTTACTTTATTTAAAAAAAAAAAAATTATTTAAAATTAATAATCTTTAATTCAATAAATTTCAAGAGTTCTCTCTCTCTCTCTCTCTCTCTCTTTTATCAATCAAAAGAACCAGCCAGCTATATCTTATAACGTACTTGTTTTCCGATTTAAAAATCTGAGCTCAAGTACTATATACGAACAATCTACGTGTAAATGAAAAGGATTCTTAATTATCTTTTTTAACTATGAAAAATAAAATATTTCGATTTACATATAATGAAATATATAATGACGCAATGATAAATGATTTTATCGTTTAAAGTACGATATGACTTACATTAATAATTCTGACGATTCTATCTTCTCTTGGATAATTTGTACCTGAAAACAATAAATAAAGCGTGGTAGAAAATTTATTTATTTTAACTTTCAATTCTCCTGTTCGTGACTTTCAAAGGAAAGACTAAGTCGGTCACTGTAATTTCGAGCGATTTATTCGTATCGTTTGTAGACTTCTCTTTCGATCATCGCTACTCTATGTATTCTTTTCTTCTTTTCTTTCTTTAATAATGATAATAGTAAGGTTCGAGCTTAAGACAAATTTTTCTCAGTAATTGCATTTTTTTACTGAAAGAATTAATTAATTAAAAAAAAAAAATTGATTGTTTTCGTTTTACTTTAATTGAGCATAAAACTTTTATACGATTGAAAATGCAATGTTTTCATAAATCTTTATAGTTGTCTACATTACTTTGGTATTTGTATCATCTTTGCTTTTTGTTAATATTATTTCGCTTTGGATCGCCTAATTATCTTAAATTAATTTATGAATTTGGAAAATTGCAGTGTCCTATGCCTTACATATACCTTATATTCTCGTAAATTTTAATATTCTCATTAATCTATTTGATTTTTCATTATCTCGTGAATAAACGAATAATATAAAGGAGGAAGAATTCGTGTTTAATTTTTTAGAAAGTCGAGATAAATAATTCAATTATATCGAGTGTCAAGACTTGGGTTTTAATCGAAAATAACATTGAATATGAACTCGCTATGCCAAATTATTGGAACAATTTAATAAAATATAAGTATTGTATCATATTTATGTATTAAAAATCTTTGCGCGCTCGCACACAAACGTAGCATATTAATTTTTTATTTCCTTAAGCATTGTCAATTTTTAAAGAGCATTTGTTATAATTGATCGTATAATGAATATCCATAACCGAGATTTTGAAATATGCGTAGTTATGCGAAGAAGCCAATAAATACGTAATCTCACGTACTTGTGTATCTAATGCGCGTGCGCGAGTCATTATCTGCATGTGCCTTTGGCTTTACACACCTAAGCGAAGTAAAATTGTTCGTTCTCATGTAATTATTGGTGCTATACATGCCGGAACTATACATGTATTTATTATTCTTTGTAGTTTACCTGGATTCGTAGGGTGTAGCTTGATTATGTATCGTAGCCACGATCGTAAATACCGTCATATATATATAAAACGTAACTGTAAGAATTTTGCGTGGCCGAGTGAATATATAACTGTAATAAAGATGACACAGTGCCAATTACGAGATTTATGATTAGATCGTTCAAGCGGACAAATATTTTCATCGAAGATTTAGTCTGCTCTTTAGTTCAATTCGTCTATCCAGTTAAATAGGCAAATGTGAATTTTAATGGGCAAGTTAAATTTTGTGGACGTAGTGTGTATGTGTGTGTGGTATTGTTTGTCTAATTCGATTGAGCCTTTGTTGTAATTACATTGAGTCATTCATAAATAGAGTATTATCATAATTATTAGGTTGTTTTTACAATTATCTTTAGTGATTTTTTTATATTGTCCAATGCAATATCTTGTATTAGTTATGTTAATATTATTGTTGAAAAATTTAGAAAGCAATTTATTAATAGAAATAGTACGCATTAATAGAAGTGGCATTAATTTAAAATTTTATTTTTATTTTTAAATTATTAATATTTAAAATTTTGTAGCTATGTTTTAAATTGCATTATGATTGAGCATAGAATGACGATTAGAAGGAAAATATGAAAGTTAAAGTTTAATTTGTAATCCTCTAACTTTACTGCAAATGACTTTTATTTGACCATTTTTTTTATGTTTTTATTAATTTTTTTATTAAAGTTATATTATTAATTTTTTTTCTTCTTTTTTTTTTTCTCTTTCTTTTTTTATTCAACGTTCTTCATATTATCATATAATGTTATTATATTGTTAATATTGTTTTATCTTTTCGTATAATACAGTAGGTCAAAGGGACTCCAAGAATAAAGAATAATGTGATATGTTTAAAAATTATTACTTATCTACGATGGCCACTTTCTGTCGACATTGGCGACTTTGGATATTACCAGTATTGACGTGCTTTTATGGTCTCCTCATTGTTATACTTGTACCAATCCTATTAGCTAATTCTATAAAAAATGGCTTCAAAAAGCAAGATCAAGGTGCTTTGGTCGGAGGAGCTTTCGTTCTTCTGGCTCTTCCTATTGCATTTTATGAAATTGTTCAACATATGATTTACTATACTCAACCAAGATTACAAAAATATATCATACGGTAAATAATCATTTTTAAGTTATTAATTTTTTCTTAAAGTAAATATATTGACAATGAGAGCTACTTGGAAGTAATAAGTATTTATTACATCTTAGCCATGCACGAATTTTAATTTTTGATTTAAGTCGATTTAAAAGTTAAGAATCTTTTGAAGATTATCGATACTAATATTTATCAGTATTAATAAATTTATTTCATAACCTGATTCAAATAGTAAAAGATTATGCGATAAGAATATAATATTTTCTTCTCGAATGAAACAAGTTTATATAAAACGTCTAAACTTTATTTACAATAATAATTCATGCTGCGTGGTTCCTAATTGATAAAGAGACATAAACCGCAAGTTTCATAAACATTCATTACAAAAAAAACTTTGTTATCTATAAATTCAAAATTATAATTCTTATCAATTGAAATTAAATCTATTATTATATGCAAGAAAGATTTTTTACCAACCTGATTAAAAGTAATATAATTATTATATCAAATACACTATAACTATTCGATATTGATATTATTATATTATTGTATGATTGTTAAAGTATAATATGAGATATTATAAAACATTTGTAATTAAACAATTATTGTTAAACTATTATATTTAATTTAATTTAATTTGGTTAGGTGAATATAAGATAATTTTATATTTGTCATAATTTGTAATATATTTTACATGGGTTACTGTCAAATTATTGTGTGCGAAAAAAAATGTTGGTGTAAGGTAAAGTTGAGTTTTAAAAATTGACTTCATTTTCTTTTACTCTAGTGTATTATGGATGGTACCTATTTACGCAGTTAACGCAGTAAGATTCTTATTGTCACTAGTTTAAAAAAATCTTATCACTCGTTTAAACTTATACTTTTCATTGATATTTTAGTGGCTTGGTTTAGTTTACCCAGATGGAAGTATATACGTGGACAGTATAAGAGAATGTTACGAAGCTTACGTTATTTACAATTTTATGATGTATTTATTCGCTTATCTGAATGCCGACCATCAGTTAGAGCATAGATTAGAGATTTCACCTCAAGTACACCACATGTTTCCATTGTGTTGCATTCCCGACTGGGAAATGGGTCGTGAATTTGTTCACATGTGTAAACATGGAATACTACAATATACGGCTGTTCGACCAATATCAACGCTAGTGTCATTGTAAATAATTATTTTCTCACTATTGCCTATTATTGTCTTACCGTATATAACGTATCTACTTTATTTTTACAGCATTTGCGAATTAAATAATGTGTACGGAGAGGGAGAGTTTAAAGCAAGTGTCGCTTTCCCCTACATGATTGCTTTAAATAATTTATCCCAATTTGTGGCTATGTATTGCTTAGTTCTTTTTTATCGTGCCAATGCAGAAGCACTGAAGCCTATGAAACCTATAGGAAAATTTTTGTGCATTAAAGCTGTTGTTTTCTTCTCGTTTTTGTAAGAAAGTATTATTTATGTTTTTGTAGCTTATTATAAAACATATTTGCAAATATTAAGATTAACGTTTCAAAAAATTCAGGACTAAAAGTATTTCTTACTATTTAACAGTCTGAATTTAAAATAAAAAAAAAAAAAAAAAAAAAAAAAAAAAAAAAAAAAAATAGAAAATCCGTTAGAATTCATTTTATGCTTCTACGTTAAAAATATAAACGTCCTTATATGTAAATGTACAATTTGAATATGTTACAAATAATTTATAAAGAAAATATTTCAATTAACTTATGAATATTTATACATAAGAATAAAAGTTTCAAATAAACTTCAATTTTTAGAATAAGCTGATCTAATATTTATTTATATTTTATGCGTATTCTTTAATTGACATTTATATAGATAATCGTTATTTATATATTTCATTTCTATATTATATGATATTGTGAAAGTTATTTTTATAATTGTAAATTTAAACGATTTTACTATGAACGCCAACTAATTTATCCTAATTTTCTAGCCAAGGAGTATTAATAGCAGTACTCGTGTACTTTGATGTTATATCAAATATATTTGACACGGATAATACAGCCGATATAAGGCATATATCATCAAAATTACAAGATTTCCTAATTTGCATAGAAATGTTCTTAGCTGCCGTCGCACATCATTATAGCTTTAGTTATAAGCCTTTTGTTAATTTGTCCCAAAGTCAAGCATGGTGGGATGCATTTAGGTAAATATTTATAATATAAAAGTCATATCAATTCTAAGAAATATTGGTGTATTGTGTTTCTAATGTTAAAGATGACGGTAATTAGTTGGAAGTATATTGTTAAATTATAAAAATTAAAATGATTAATCTGTGAAAAAATGTGTTATAATATATACAATTTTGTGAACAAATTATCAATCATTATTATTAAAATACTGAATTATCTGAATTTCTTCTGCACAGTACTTTGTCAATTAAAAAATATTACCAATTTTAATTGAAACGAGAAGATAAAATCTTAAGTTACGTACAATTATTCATTCCTATAATGTCCCAGAAAAATAAGTGTATTTACAATAAATTTTCAGACAAATGTGGGACGTATCCGACGTACATAACGACATTAAGGAACACTTGGGTGTAGTTGGATCTTCCTTAAGTAGACGAATACGCGGCCGCGGATCATACCAGCAGACCTGGAGTAGCGCAGACGAAAGAACTTCATTACTTCCAGAAACTTTGGTTGTCACGGCAAAAAGTGCTCCGACCGCCTCTTTTTCGGATTATCACGCCGAATCAGGAAAAAGTTCAAGTTCGAACGAATGCGTTGAAGGGCCTGCCGACGTTATTACTCCTGATTCACCTCAGAACAGCAGTAATACAATAATTACGTAGCCATCCTTCAACCTTGCTATACATATTCGCCAAAATTTTAAAATAAGAAACTGTGACATAAATTCTAGTGCAGGGATATTAAAAGAATCAACTATCTCTTAACATAAGTTCGTTTTACTTTTACTATGCAATCATATTTTTGTAATATTAACCCTCGGCTGTTTAGCTCATCAAATTCTAATCAATTTATATGCAGGTGTATAAAAGTGTGTTCACGTGCGCGAGCGCGTGCGATATATATATATATATATATATATATAATGTGCGTGCGAGTGTGTGTTTCCATAACGTAAATCATTGCTGCTTATCCATTATTTATTAATTCATGTATAAAAATAATAACGGGAAAAGATTTCACTGTCCCCTGGTGACAAAACATAAATCGTTGATCGAACAAACATGAGTTAATAAACAAATTTAATATTTAATGTGTGGCAAATCGAGTTGAAAACTTGGAGAAAAAAACAACAACAACGGATTCCTCATTCTAGCTCCCACGGAGTTATAAAAATGAATGTAGTAAAAAAGATATCTACACGTAGATTTCGTTTGTAGATCGATATATAAAATCAAAGTAAATTAAATAAAAAATAAAAAGTATGAAACAAGATAGATATTAAGTACGAGAAAAAATAAGTAATAAAATGAAAGCTGTAAAGCTTCATTGCATTATATTGTTAATAACAAAAAAATCTATTAAATTTGAAAAGTTTATTAAAAAATCTAACATCCTTATAAACATTTTATATAAATAATACTATTTACATTTTAGAACTTATTTTGTAAGAGGCGATGAAGGGATCGATATAAAGTTCTCTACTACTCTGTAAGAATTTAGATAAATTAAATTTTGTATTTGTTTTTACTATAATTTTTATACAATCTACTTATTCATTTATGTTAATGATAATCTAAACTCCTACTATCCCATAATTAGCTCCATGTAGACAAATATAATAATGAAAGAATATTTGAATTTTTCAATTTGATTGTTAAGTAGGATGTTACGTAGGAAAGAAATGTTGTATTCTTATTCAATTGTTGTAAATAGTAAGAAATTTTTTTACCTTTTCTATATAAATTGCAATGTTTATATTAAAACATTACGCTAAAATATTGGGATTGAAATAGTTTCCATTTTTTTATTAATTGTATTATATATTTTTTCAAGTTTATATTATGATTATAAACATGAAAATTTGATATTTTTGTGCTTATAGGAAATTATAATATTAACAATTATATTGTTTGGCTTATTTGATAATGTATTTATAGCTGAGGGTTAATTCTATTTTTGCTAATAAGTAATTACTTTTGTGATAACGATCTAATTTTTTAATTGTATATAAGTTTTCCGTTTCAGTAAAATAAAGCTAGAGAATTAATGCGCATAGTTGATAAGCATTTATCTACTATATATCAAAATAAAATATTCAGGCGATTTAACAATGTTTTTTTCTTAAACAAATAACGTTTAATCATATTGCATATTACCAATGATATTTTACCAAATATTGTACATACCTAAACCGTTTATAAATAAATAAATAAATAAATATATATATATATATATATATGCAACACTACGTCAATAAATAAATATATGACATATTTTGTCAGTCAAAATTTATAAAATATTAGACGTGTTTGTTGTGTGAACTATTATATAGGATTATAAGCCTTAAAATATTTGTACATAAGAATATAATCTTTTTTTGAAATTCCTATTATTTGCCTTATTTTATAAGAAAAATTAAAAAAAAAACTGTTTTTTGTATTTTCTTAAAAATGTAATAGTGTTTAATCGAGTAAGATTTTGTAGGAAAAGAACAATTGAAAAATTAAATTATTTTTTATAATATAATGAAATATAAATATTTTTCTAATTCAACGTGCGATTACTATTCTGTCTATTTTTAATCTTTATTTATAGTCTTTAAATCAGTTTTTCATAATAATTTTTTTTTTTTTTTTTTTTTTTTTTTTTTAAAACAATTTTTTTTTTTTTTTTTTTTTTTTTTTTATAAAATAACATATTATACAATAGTTAACATTTTCTTTACGTTTTTTTTTTAAATATATATTTGATATTATTAGGTGACAAATATTTCAACAAAATTTGGAAATAGAGTAACTTAATGTGAAATAGCAGTTTATAACTAATATAATATTTGTATGTTTTTTGCTTTTTTTGTATACCATTGCAGGTATGAAAGAGTAAATAAAGTGCTAAAATTTTATATACAAAATATTTATCATCGTTATATTGAACATGTCTTTAAGGCTACGAATTAATAAATATTCAATTATAATACAAGATTAATTATTTTTCTTTACAACATCTACGTTTTATTAACATTTTATACACAAAATTAAAGTAAAATATAGAGATTTTTTTTTTTTTTTTTTTTTATTATAACCAATGTATTTCTTATTGATATATAATTAATTGCGTACCGAAACTTTATTTTAAAATGAAAATTAAACGACTTGTAAATTCTGTTATTTAATAAACTAAATTTAAAATACCATATACTATTTACGTAATTTTAAGGATAAGCAAAAATAGAGTAACAATAGCCAAGATAAACCGACGATAATAAAAGATAATAATGTATATGTGTATAATATAATATTAAATCAATTTAAAAATATTACATTACACCTAATTACTGGAAATATATTTTTACGATTACGTTACATATAACGATGTAAAAGCATAGCATTTTTTCAATTTCAGATTTTATAAAACCATTTTTTGTAAAACTGAAAATAAAAATGGAAATATTTTGTTTGTATGAAAATCATAAAATGTATGTTAAATTAACATAAACAAATTCATAATTAAAATTATTTTTAATACATTATAGTATGTATTTCAAAATATGAAATTGTTGAAATCAAATAACAATTCAATACAATTCAACGTGTTTGCTCTCTCTTACTAATATCAATAAGAATTCACTTTCTGCGAATTAAATAAAAAAAAAGTCATTAAATTTGCTATCAATTAAATTATAAGCGTTATTTTATTATTTAAATGTAAACGTATGACGCATACATGTACTAAATTAATAATATTTTATGATATGTGAATTAATGATACACTATTCGATATTTCGGAAGTTATGATTCGTTTAAAAATTGAAAATGTCCACTTTTGCCATTTGTTTGTGTGGAATTTTTAAAACGATGGACTTAAAAGTAGAATAGCAAGTTTCGAAAAATCTGTCTGTCAAATGAAGAACGGAGATTCCAAGGGTCAGTAGCTTTTATTGGCGACCCAAGGCGTTTGGGCTTGACCGCGAAAAGCACACCATGAAAGTTCGGTAGCCATGGAATAAACCATAATTTTACCTAAATTTCCTAAATTTAGCAATACCCGTAAACACAATAGCTCGCGAATATCGAGAATATGAGAAACATTGGACTGACGTAAATTTGCGATTGCCGATGATAATTGTAACCAGCGCAGTTTAGAAATATATGTGTTATTATATGTAAAGTTTACTTAAAGCTTGAAAGATATACTTATTCACATTACTTTTTCAAAGCTTTCAAAATTTATTGTCCCGAATAACTGTTGATGTTTATTAGAAAATTCAGCTTTTTATCTAAACATTGATAAAGATTAATTTTTGTATAAAAATGTATCCGTTCGAGCCAAAAAGTATAAATAATATTTGTAAAAGATTATACGAGTAATAACATATTATGTATATAATGATTAATAAACATAAAATATTATTTTAAAGTTTATAAATAGGTAAAAATGATTTTTTTTTTCAACCTTTAATTATACATTAATGTCTTTAATGTAAAAATCTAAAAAACTAATGTTATGATTAAATTAAAATAATATTGTTATTATACTGATTTAATTAATGATATTTTTGTATCTAAACAAATAAAACACATAAAATGAAAATACTTTTACAACATAATTTTTAATCCCTTAAACTTTAATTTTCGGTTTTCTTTTTCTATTTAGATTGATCGAGTTTCGACGAATCGGAGTTTGACAATTTGAGGTGGAGTATTATGATTAATTATTTAATAAACAAGTGGACAGAATGATGTATTTATATTGTATTTCAAGTACAAGTGGCCAATGCATTTAAATTTGTTATTTTGCATTGGTAATTCTATTTAAATAGAATATACCATTATCTACATCCAAGATTATTAAATAATTATAACCGGTTTGATATATATGCAATCTTTTTAAAATTAAAATATTATGAAAAGAAATAAATATAATATGATGATATAATATGTTGGTAAACTAAAATTTTGGGCACCACGTACATTATAAAATAAGAATGTCCCTATTATGAAATACATTGATTTTAATTATTTATTCGAACGACTATTGATATTGTTTATCTGTAAAAAATTTCAAATTTATAAGATTTACACATTAGTTTTGTGAACACTTCATTCCAAATATAACCGTTTAAAAAAATAATCATTTTTTTTTTCTTTTTTTTTTTCTTATAATCACAATGTGAAATATATTATTTTTCTATAAAACATAAGTTACATGTTGAAATGACAATCAAAATATATTATTCAATTACGTGTATGCGAGCGCGCGCATACATTTACACAACGTACGCGCATGCATCTTATATATATAATAAGAAAATTATATTGCAAATATTGATGTCCGATTGGCCCCATAGCTCAGTTGGTTAGAGCGTTGCGCTAATAACGCAAAGGTCGTGGGTTCGATCCCCCCTGGGGCCATAATTTTTTACTTTCAAAATATAAGTTTATCCACACGATTACTTAAATATGACGGGGATCATCGTAAACGGGGACGTTAATAAAAAAATTATTCTTTTTTTTTTTTTAAATGCACAATTTTATTATATAAAGTAGAAAAATATGTAGAAAGTTTCATAAAAATTCGTAAATACTCGATTTGAGAATCTATAATTAGAAATGCCCGTACAAAAGCATATGAAACGAACAAACTATGATATTCGAAACTTTATTTCCGTTACTGAACTACTGCTTTATAAATAGACAAAATATTTATTTTTTGTCGTTGTTGTTGTTGTTGTTGTTGTTGTTGTTGTTGTTGTCATTATCTTCTTTATATTTCGTTATTGAATATTGTAATATTTCGTTAATATTAGTCGATAAAATCACATCCTTGTCGTAAAAGATTTTATTACCGGCAAGTTTTGTTCTGATAAAAAGTTATTCTCGACAGAATTGATTACCCGCTATATTATTTTATGATACACACATGTACTGTGCCTATTGGGGCTATTCTCGTCCTAATAATTACGACGAGACTTTCATTTAATAAAACGAAATGTTTATTCGCGTAGTTTGTGTCCACGTTGTTTCTTTCACGCAATCGATTCATAAACCAGGATATACGACACCGACTAACATGAAATATCCATAATGTGATACTCGTGACTAATGTATTTGGTAGCACGTGGTTATGTATGGTTAGAAGCTTATAATATAGTCGCTTCGTCTATTTCTTATTCAAATGATGTTTATAAATGGGCGTAAAAGCAATTATTTAATAAATGTAATATGTAGATGCACGCGTATGCAGAGATCTGTACATATGTCTTTCGTCAGTAATTTTAAAGATAAGATTCTCAATGATCAAAATAGCGTGTTTAGTGACATAATTAAATAATTTTGAAGACTAATTATTAACCCGTTGAATGTATATGGCTGTATTGTATTCAACTACACGAAGGCACAATCGATTGCTTTTTGTTCAATGTTGGTATGGGATGTTTTTGTGTGCCGTTTCATTTTTAGTCATTAAAAAAAAAAAAAAAAAGTATTCTAAACTGTTTTGATAAGAAAAAGAACTTCAATTGTACAAAGAACGTCATATAATATCAATATCGCTTCGATAGTTGATTTCAGTTTTTTTTAAGAATCTTCAACAGTGTGGATTCGTAGTTTTGAACAAATCATTACGATTAATTATGACGAAGCATTTATTTTGTCGTTGGCGCCTCTTCAATAAGCGAAGTTTTCAATATTTCATCATGAACAACGTGACATAATTAAATGATTACACGATAGCCGAACAAGAAATTTCTTTGGAAACGTTTTCACGAAATTAATTTACTCTCGCCAATCTTACAAATGCTTATTCGTCGTTTATGTGAATTTGAAAAGACATTTAAAAACAAAACACTGAACAAGTTCACCTCGCATAAACGCACAGTGCTGAAGATTTCTTTATGCTAGAGACATTCACGATTACTTGTATTTATTATTAAAATAATATCATTATAAAATCACGTTAATTATTTATAATATATATATATATATATATATATATATATATAATATTCATATATTTCTTTAACTTGGAAATTTGGAATTATCAATGTGCTTTTATTAAATTGTCGAATAGTTCAAATGTAGAGCAATTAGGTGATTTACTTAAACTCTTTAAGCTCAGCCTATGCACGCATATCCTATGTGTATAAATAAAAATGAGAGAATCAATTAAATAATTCGATAGATCTAGTAAATTTATTGAAATATTAATTTATAAAATTGATTTTATTTTAATATCGTTGTATTATATAAGTTTTCTTATCGGTAAATCACAACATAAAACATTAACAAAACAGAAATGCGCATTCACTAATTTTAAATAATTAAATATTTTTAATATCTATGTGTTTTAACAAAAAATTATCTTTTGTTACAAATAGAAATTTTATATTAAAATTTATTAAACAAATTTTATATTTGTATCGTCATTGGAATTTCCAAGCCTCAAGCTTTAATATCAACTAATCTCAAGCTTTAATCATCTAATAGCTAGATAATTAAGTTTTAATGTTGAATCAGGAAAAATCATTATTTATATATTATTTGTATGCATTGAGTTACATGGACTTATCTATGATGAAATATCACAGTCTTTATTTTCGAGGCAATGTATTTTAAACATTTTGCGCATTAATAATAATAATAACAACAACAACAACAACAACAACAACAATATTATTATTATTATTATTATAATAATAACATTATTTCGTATATATTTTTAATTCTAATATTTTATATTGTATAAACTCTTTGTAAAATAATGTTATGTAAAAGAAATAACTGAATTATTTACCTATTTTATTTATTTGTAAATATAATTAACAGTTTAGTAGAAATGTCCCCTATTACTAAAGTTATTGATAATTGTAGGCTATTGTTGTACTATTGTTGTTAACCTTACGCAGGGTATTTTTTGTCTACCAATACTTGAATATAAACATTTAGCGCGTTAAAAGAATTATTTCTCATGAAAATACGCGGCTAGTATTTATCGTCGAAGATTGTACTCACTGCAAAATGTATGCATTCAGTCATTCGATGTTAACTGTCATTATGATTATTTTAATTTATTCTCCATTTATTTGTATTGATGGACTTTATCAGCTGACTAAGATCTTTACGTCGTTGTTAAAGAACACGTGTCTTTATGACTAATCCATATTCACGGAATGGCATACGAATTATTGTTGTAAAAATCTAGTTTTTGAGCGATGAGTTATATATGTTATCGAGCTTATTTGCTTCCTAATCCAATCGAATAATACATTTTGATCAAGTAATATGGACAACACGATACTGTATAGATACTTGATATTTGATGATAGAAACTGTCGCCATTAATACGATGACACAGAAAGAAATTTTTAATAGATGTATTACAAAAAAAAAAAAAAAAATTCATTACCTTTTAACAAACTGTCAATATTTAATATCATTGACAATATTAAAAATATGTATTATAATAAGCGTTCACAATTGATTTTCTATTGTTTGCGTTATATTTAACCTGTCAAATCAATATAGTATATTTGTATATTTTTCATCGATAATAGAGAAAAATAAAGTTTTATAAAATATCTTTTTAAAAGTTTTCTTCGTACAAGCGTAACAGGTTGTAGTAAATGGCTTCAAATGGCTGTTTGAAATTACAATATTAACCGAACTTATTTTATTTACATGACTCTTATAAGAATATATTTTTAAATTTCACTTTTTCAATATTCGTTTCCTTTTATCGAAAAATTTATAAACAGAGTCACTAAATCTTATTAATTTTATAGTATACGAACCATATTTAACTTTCTCGATAATTAATAATTTTCTTAAAGTAAAATTTTTAATGTTCAAAAATAAATGACTAAATCTCTAGAATTAAATTAATTAATAAAATTAATAAAGTGTGTAAATTTTATGTTTTTTTCAAAGAGTATGCCACGTTCGTTTGATATATTAAATTAACAGATTACATACGTCGGTAAAAATTATTGATATATTATAATTCATATTATCGTAACATACTTTTAAACTATGAATAACATATTTAAATTAAAATAATATTTTTAGATTAATAAATTTATATATTTTAATAATAAATGAAATGATGTAAATAATATAATATAAATAATACTTATAAAATTAATATTTGAAATATTTAAATTCCAAGCATTAATTATATTATACATGATATTGATTTATATAACTTTATTATTGATGAAAATATAGGAATAATTATTTTAAATATAAGAATATATGTCTATTATTATACATAATATCCATTATTTTTCCATTATTTTTATTGGAAGTAAAGGATATTTAAAAAATTATATAATAAATTATATTGATATTGTTAATTTGATTTGAATATTTTATAATAATTAATTAAAATAAAATCAGGTTATTAATAATCGGGTAGGTTATAGTCCAATACAATTATTGTTCACATATAAAGAAAAATCATGTATTTTATCGTCTTATTCGAAATGAGATTTATCACATTTCTTAATAATTTTTCACTGAAAAAGTTCATTAACAATATAAATTTAATACAAATTAATATTGTTTATGAATGCATGACAAATGAAACCAATTAATTCCAGAAAATTGTTATATTACAACATTCCCATTATGAAATTTGTGAATGTAATACATAGAATGTTTAAAAAAAAAAATGTAAAATTCTTACAAATTTGAAAGATAAATTGAAAAACTGTTATTTAATTTTCTGTAAGAGACCGTGTGATTTTAATGTTTTTTTTTTTTTTTACTTTGATGTAAGAATAAATATATAAAATAAAATGGAAATATGAATGTTGTTTGTAATTATGTATTGAAAATTAGTTTGTTAAATACAACAAAATAATAGATCAAATCGTACCAACATATAATATGATAAATGTTGAGTGTAACTTTGAGCCGTGAAATGATAAGCGTAGTACTCTAATTTATATTCATGGCCAAGGAAAGTACACGGAAATGTAATAGAAAAATATTTGTCGTTAGAACAAAAAAATTCAACAAAACTAAAAATCGATAAAAATTAATTTAGAAAATATAATGGATATGAATTTATATATAATGAAAAGAGCAAAAAAAGAAAAAGAAAAGATCAACTTGAAGGACAGAGTGAGAGTGCATATATTCACTGAACATAGCTGAATTACTAATAATAATAGAAGCGAAAGTGATTCTGAGTATAAATTATACTTGAAGGATATTAGAAAGTAAATTGTAAAATAGTATAATTAACATTATGTCAAAGTTTTATTTTTCAAATATTAGATATAAAAATGGTACAATTTTTAAATTAAATAATGATACGATATCAATATATTTGTTTAAATTTGTCAGATTTTTTATTTTATTTATTTATTTATTTATTTTTTTTTTTGTAATAACGATATAAAAAACTTTTGGCAACAGATTTATAGATGTATCCGTAGCTTCAAAGTGTATGAATCTGTGAGTTTTAATATAACATATCGCGAATGATATATATATATATATATATATATATAATGCGTATCTACAAATTATTAAATAATTTCTAATTTTGAAATATTTAAATATTTAAAGTTTAATGTATTTTAAACATTTTTACTGCATAGGAATACTATAATTAAATTAAATCAGATGAATGTTTTTGGAAAAGTTGTAAAATTAATAATTAATATTGTAAAACAATAATGCACCGTGATCAAATAATTATTGCATTAAAAGAAAATTAGAAAAGAAAATCTGCAGTTTGGCGTCATATAATTAAGTAGCGAACTTCACTGATAAATAAATGGTGTTGATAAAGTAAATAATAAATTATAAATTTTTATATCGATATTTCAATTATTATAATACTTTAATTACCATCTACCTTTTAACTTTTTGAAGGCTTGTTGTTTACCAATTTAAATTTCTTAGTTTTTCGAGTCAGAAGCAAAATATATTTCTGAAAAATGGATACTTTTCTTAGTTGTAGAATCTGAAAACTAAATAAACAAATGCATTCTGGTATAAAATAATAAATTCGAAATTAATTAAATTTAGTGACAATTTATTCTGAAAGAGATTTTATTTAAATGACATACACAGTAATTAATAGCACATACAAATAATAATAATACCCTTACAAAGAATTTACTTCCGTGAGTAATGCAATAATGCATAGTGCGTAAAACATTAAACAATTTAATCATATAAATACTAATTTACTAAAGACACACGAGATAAGTCATTTGAGAATTAATTATTTTGTAAATAAATATATCGATAATTAATTTATAAGAGAATTTAATTTAGAATATTATTGTTTGATTTTTTTTGTTGGAAATAATAAAATTCATTATTTTTTTTTTAATTAAATTATGGCTAAATTAAGTAATCATGCTATTTTATTATTCCAATATGTGGGGAGATATGCATTATCATTATTGATGTAAACTGTAACATGAAGACAAAATAAATATAAATTATATATTACTAATCAAAAATTTTCTGATATGATAACCAAAGTATAGTTCAAAGATAAATTTCGAAAATTCAATTCCATTTAATTTCATTCCATGCATTTATATTTATATTTATTATATATATATATATATATTAGATTATAAAATTAAAAAATTTTAATATCATTGAATCTAGATATCTACATTGAAGTTTTAAGAATTGTATTTAAAAACGTAAAGAAATCGAATTTTTTAATTACATATTTAACATGAAATACATGTATAACAATTTATTGATATATTAAAACAATTTAGAAAAATTATTTATAGTTTGTATTATTTAGGACACATATAAGTTAATATTTTTATATTTCTATTTTAATAGTAATAATATTTAATAGATTTAGGAATATAATAATCATAGAATTTACTAACATTAATTTGGCGCTGAATTTATTATATTGAGAATATATTTAAAATTTTAATGATTTATTGTTATTTATTTACATTATTTATTCACATTATTTATGAATTATGCTAACATAATTCCTATCTTTATTATTATCAATTACTCAATCGAGTAAGTTTAATCATTTAAGTATTATATATATATATATATATATATATATAATACTTAAAACTTATAATTTGATAAAATATTATTGATATTAGATTCATAATAATATAATTTTGCTTCAACAAAATTTTGATATTATTATATTTATTCATGGAAGAGAGTATAAAAAACCTCAACTATATTCCTTGATAATAAAAAATTAAAATAATGTAACTATTGAAAATTATATTTAAAAATTTTCGATTTATTAATTCAAAATTATAATAATTTTTCATGTATTTATTTAATCTGTATTAATTAAAAAATAAGTTCGTTTTATGTTTATTAAATCACAATTGCTTTATTTATTAATAAAAACTTTACATATTAGATAACTTAGCTTACATAACTTAAATCAAACGTTTTTTGGTATTAATAATAATATTAGACTAAATATCATTTTTGGCTACTCAATTCTTTTTAACATAATTCATGTAATGAAAGGAATTAGTAGTTCCATCGAAATTATTTAAAAGTATAAAAAGTTTTATAAAAGAAAACCATCATTACGTTATAATTTAGAACCATTTTACATATATGAAATATATAAATCAAATTTGAAAAACTTGAACAATATTATGGGATAAACTATTCGATATTTCTAATATAAAAATTGACATATATAACATTTTTTTATGTATACAATCATTGAAAACAAAAACAAAAAAATATATTTAAAAGGCAAATTGAAAAATAGAAATATATTTCATTGATTGGTTTATGTAAATAATAAGTAATTACTAAATTGGAGTTTACGAATTATAAATCTCATTCTAAATTATATTTCAATAAAGCAACAAGATTAAAAATTTATAGTACTATATTTAATTTTCTAATTAAAAGCTCAATACTCGTATATATAAAAAGTAATGGTAAATACATCAATAAAATACTGCTATTAATCACTATTAAGATAAACAAAAAAAGTGAATATAATTTTATCATTTTATAAATAAATAAGCTTGAATTATAAAAATCTTTAAAGAATTCTATTACGGTTGTCCTATTTCTTCTTATTAATTATCGATTATATTCCATTTTAATAAAATTACAAATATTTGAATTTTTTTTTTTTTATTCAAAAACTTTGTTCAATTGATCTAGATTAAATTCTATAAATTACAGGTACCATTTAGAGCTTACACAAAATATTTCTTATCTAATTGCAAAAGTAAATACATATTTTTGTGTTTTAATGCAACTTTTACATGCAAACGTTAATTTAATTATTTTTCTAATATAGTTTTTAAATTGTTAAAATAAAGAAAAATAAAAAATTAATGTCATAAGGTATAATGTAACATCAACAGAATTATTTTGTTTAAAATGATTTCGCTTTACTTTCAACGATTATAGAAAATAAATTTCATTATTATCTAAAAGTGCCGCGATATGTTTGTATATTTCAGTACGAATAAAAAGAGTATGAAATAGAAAAAATTATCAATACAAGTATGTTATATATTTATACATTCGATAAATGCATTTTATAGTATATTTATTATTGATAATGTTCATTATTTTAAAAAATATTCAAGAATATGTAAGTACACTTTCCCTTTATAATAATATAAAATAAGAAAAATAAGAGAACGTATAGAATAATAGTAGTAATAATAATAATAATAACAGTGTTATATATTTTATTATTTAGTAATTGTGTATTATAAAATTAACAACACTTGTAAAACTTTAAATTGTATTTCATATCATTAGAAAAAATTATATATTAAAATTAATTAAAACCACAAAATGAATAAATTACGTAGAAACAAGTATTTTTATGAGAATTGCGTTGAATAAAAAACCATAAAGTAGAAATATGTTTAGTATATTTATTATGTAAAATAATATCCTTAAAGTAAAATCCATAGCGTTGATTGTAGACTTTAATTGGTCGGAAAAATTGAGATTCGATTGGTTAAGCTATTCATAGATTTTTATTATTTATTCTTTAAAATATCTATACTCTGTAATTAAAAGCTTTTGGATTTCCGATTATGTTTTTTTTTTTTTTTTTTTTTTATATCCATAATTTATATCCATAATTTATATCCATTTTTATAAATCCATAATTATTTTATAAGATGACTATATATTTTCTTTAATAACCAAGTTATATTTAATAATTAGCAGTAGTATTTTATTAAAAATTTCATAAATGATTGCTTATCTCAGAAACATATTAATAAATCAATGTTTTTTTGTTAAAGCAGATTATTATAAATCGTCTCTTGTAGTATAATTTTATTCTTGTATAATTATTACTTATTATTATATCCGTTTCGGTTTAATCTTTGGTGTTTTTGTATTTTATTGGTGATTTAAAGTTTTTTTTTTTTTTTTTGAGATAATTTACAAGATATTTTGAAATTTTACAAAAAATGCATGCGATAGCTAGAAATGACGAATGATTAAAAATATATTTAATTGCATTTCTTATTCGTCACTTGATATGTTCGCTGTATAAAATGGATAATAAACTGAAAATCCTTATTGTATAGTTTTGCATATTATATAATTTTTATAAATATATTTTTTAACAATTAGTTTCAATTGCTTTTATTTAATTATTAACTGTGTGAATATATATTATTTCAGATAATATTAAGAGTAAGAGTACATGTTTGACAGCATATAATAAACGAAGCGGCTGGGTTCAAGGGTTGTTGAAGTGTCAATGAAACATACAAAAAAAAAAAAAAAAAAAAAAAAAAAAAAAAAAAAAAAAAAAAAAGTATTGTGCTTTAAGTTCAATGAATGAATTATTTATTCATACAGAATTGCATGTGACTATAGCCTATTTTAATTACTCTGTAAGTGCAAAACTATTCGTCGCTACCAACAATAAAATTAAAATAACTAAAATGTGTTTTTGAACATAAAATGGGTTCATTTAATGTATGTGTTATGTGTGATTGCAAAGAATCGCGGCAGCAAATTATCGATTAAAGTAAATTACAACAATATAATCTTCTAACTGTCCAAAATTCTTTAAATCTTTTAGCCATCGTATAGACTATGGATGCGCAATTTCATTATACACAATTGCGCACGGATGTAGAATTAAAAAAAAAAAAAAAGAAAAAAAAAACGACTAATTATACAGCGAGAATGCTCATTATATATAAGAAATACTTTTTATCTCCTTTCGCTAACCCTAACTGTAGGAATAACGTACGTGTAGAGTAGTGTTAAAGGGTCTATGATATTGCAATTAAGATTGGCAATTTGTAAATATAAATAGAAGTAAAGTAAATACACGCAGACAAAGTAAATACAAATATAATGAATAATTATTAATTGCTACTCCAATAAATTGACAATTAAATCACACAGTTCCTCACTTACACATTGAATGCACATTGCGTTAAAAAAGAAAAATAAGGAAAAGAAGAAGAAAAAATTGTACCAGATACATCGTTTTCATACTTGAATGCAGATATTAAAGAGATCACTCATACGTCCTCTACTTTTTAAGTAAATCTTGTTGGAAATTACTGTCCACGTGCTCACTACTGGAGCATCGACGTTTGATAAACGTTTGAGCATGCAGACAAGGCGGGTGTCATTCTTCAAGTACATATAAAGCCACCAAGGGAGCATCGGTTGGTTTCTTTTGATCGCGTGCACTCGTTAAAAGAACTGCTTTCAAGTGTAAGAGTATCAAAGTTCAAAGTTGTGTTGTCGCCAGACATATATAAGATTAGACTTCGTGCCTGGTAAGTTCGGCAATTGCCAACTTTCCTTCTTTCACATATTAATACAAAATTTTGCTTACGAATATTAATACAAACTGATTCGATATTTTTAATATATTGATTTAACGAGTCTTATGATTAATTTGACAGCAACAATTGATTATGAAAATAAATTTGTATTTTTTAACGCTGAGAGTTTAAAACTCTTTTTATTAGTTTTTATTATTATATTACAGTACTATTCACTTAGATGATCTAACGATTACAGTTTTTAATACGTATAACAATGTATAAGAATATATATATATATATATATATACATATAATACTAAACTGTTGATGTTTTTTATTTTATACTAAATCCATTTGAATAAGTTTGTATTAGACGTTTTAATGTCTTAAAGATCCTTTTTAATCTTATCTACGAAGACTATTGTTATCAATGTAAAGATATATATATATATATATATATATATATATATTGTAATAAAGAATTTGCACGTTAATTTGTATGCGACAATAATTATTTTTTTATTATTAATTTTTTTGAAATTCGATATATTTATACAAATAAATTATAATAATAAACTTTTGAACATTAACAAGAGTGAATTCTATTGAAATTTACATCATAAGACTTGATTGAACTAAAAACTGATGGTGGCGTATTAAATTTGTTGTTTACGTATTATACTTCCTAATAAATCAACCAATCTCATGTTTATTTATAAAATTTGATTTCTATGTTTCGTAGAGATAACAGGCTGAAAATATTAAAAATACATACTTCGGTGGCATTAGTAAATTTAAAAATTCAAAATGTCAATTGTTGCACACCAAAATGGATTAGATAATAAGCTTAAAAAAAACTTATTAAATAGCAAATCCGAATTAAGTGACCACGAAGAATATCAATATCTCAACCTAATTAAAGTAATATTGGAAAAAGGTGCTGTAAAAGATGATCGTACCGGTGTTGGCACCCATTCTATTTTTGGTGCACAAATGCGATTTAATTTAAGAGACGGTGAGTATTATATCATAGGTGATATTGTAAAGATTTTCATACAGATTTATTTTATTCGTATAGAAATAAAAAATGTTTTAAGAAATGCAAAGAAATGCGAATGATGCATAAATATGAATAAATATTCAAATTCAATATGTTTTTGGATCTGTAAAATATTCTTATAAGACTTCTTATTATTACAATATCGTAGCATTTGATGAATGAATAATGTTCTTTTTAATTAAAACCAACAACAACAACAACAACAACAACAACAATAATAATAATAATAATCATCGCTATTATTATTATTATTATTATAGAATTTTATATTACAAGTTTATTTTTAAACAAGAATTGTTAATGCTTTAAATTAATATGAAAAACAACTAAAGAATATATATTATCGAGCGTTAAAACTTAATAAATTTGGAAAAATATGCAAACTTTATTTCAGATTATTTAATTTTAAACCGCTTAGTTGAACAATCACGACAATTTTTTTAATGCTACCTAATGAGTCGTTAATGAGACCTAAATTCCTTCATAGCTAAACACATCCAATGAACTTGCCAAATTTTCTACGTATGCTCATTCATTTATTTTTTATAACACACGTAATATTTTACTCATTTTTATTAATCCATTATTACCTGAGATTGTCACTTTATTTTTTGTTTGCGTTGATGTATATATTTATTCATACAGATATTAATTGGCCGATTAAAACGAAATTTTCTTCACATCTATATATTCTATCTACATGCTCTTCTGTTAATTGCTTTTAAGTAATTAATAAAGTTATCGTAAACTTCGTGTATAATATAATAATATTATTTGTTCGAGTCATTTGTATTAACATTCTCTACTTTCTTAAGTTTACAACTCAATAAATTCAATCATCGATTCACCGAACAACCATAGTTAATATTTTTTTTAAGCACGATCATTATCCCAATCATTTTTGCGAAATCATATTACACAATTTTTCACATATTTGAAAGATTTTTCGTCTTTATATTCAGGAGTATTTCCATTACTCACAACAAAACGAGTATTTTGGCGTGCAGTTGTTGAGGAATTGCTGTGGTTTATCAGAGGCTCCACTAACGCGAAAGAACTATCCGATAAAGGTGTCAAAATTTGGGATGCCAATGCATCTAGAAAGTTTCTCGACTCATTGGGTTTCATCGATAGAGACGAAGGAGATTTAGGCCCGATTTATGGCTTTCAATGGAGACATTATGGTGCAAAATACATCGACATGTATACAGATTATACAGGCCAAGGTATGGGATTGAATTAATTTGAATATAATTAAATTTATAGTATTTGTTATAACGGCATTAAGAATATCTGTCAGTGACGTTCGACTCTCAATATAAATAAGAAATTGCCCTAATTATAGATAGTTAATTAAATCAATATTTATATGTATTGCAATAATTACGCAATGAAAAAAAGCATCGAACAACAATGTCAGAAGATAATTTATTTTTAAAGATAATATAAACTATTTTATGTGCATTTTGATTTACGCTCGTACATTATATTTAATATTATTTTTTATATTATTGCATTAAATTGAAATTACTGCTTCTTACAATATCATTGAAATATTTTTTATTTTTTTCTATATTTTCGTATATAGAAATCGTATCAAATGTTCAATCAAAGTATATCTTCTTACGTCCAATTTTATTTAACAAAAATGGAGCTCATTATTTTGATGAAAATTGATTCACTCATTCAGAATAACATCAATTGGATTTAATTTTATTAAAAGAATATTCTTCCAGGCTATCTGCCGTTCGAGAATAATGCCTTATTGATTGTTCGACAGAAAGTAAAATTGATAAACAACGTTGCTTAGTAAAGGCAAATAACCACACAAACAAACTTTCTTATCATGTTAAATAAAAATTATGACTGTACATGCATTACTTTATAAATATTTTTTCTACGTATAATATAGAAATTATTTAGTCGTAGAAGCATCAATTATATGATTTTTTTTTAATAAAAAGTTAAAGTGCCATTGAAAAAAAAAAATTAATATTCACAACGAAATAATATTTTTTGAAAAATTATATATCTGTAAAACTTATATGGTTAAATCTACTTTGAAGAATTGCCTACAATATATTTATATATATATATTATATATTTATTTATATATACGTATATAAATATATATATATATATACGTATATATTATATATATATATATACGTATATATATATTTATATATATATATATATATATATATAAATAATCCATAGAATATAAATATTATCGAATAATTAATATAATACATATCGAAGATTAAAATATATTAAAAAGTCCGTGCAAAACGGCAACAATTTTAAATAAAACACATAATTATAGTATTATAATTTAATTTAATTATATATTTAATTTAATATATATTAATATAAATTAATATATAATTTAATTTAATTTAATATTATACTTAGATGAAATAGTTGGAAAAAATTTAGAAAATTAGTATTAAATTAAAATTAAGTAATAATACACACGATTCCTTATGGCAATTATAAAGTTTAACTAAAAATGCGCATTAATTAGTCTTTATAAATTATTGATATCGATATTTATTATAAATAATTTAACTGTTAATTTCTCTGATAGTAATGTCTGTGTATGGGGTTAAACATTGAGTAATGTTCTACGATTTTTTCACTTAACATTTTGCATTTGAATTGATAATTGACAATTCTTAGAATAAATTATATATATTGGATTTACATGCATACATTTAAAACAATATTTATCTTCTTTTTAATTCTTTACAATCATATTATAAAATATATAAAGTATTGAATATTTTTTTAATTATTCGATGATAATGATAAATTATGTTTTTTCAACATTATTAGGTATATTATGAAAGGTATTAAGTTTCGTTAAATTTTAACGATTTGTATGTCGGCGGTTCATAGAAATCGAGTATAAAAATGTTTGTTAAATATCTCTACTAAAGTTCCTTCCTTTCACATTTATATCGAGGTTAAAAAAGATAAAAAAAAAAAAAAAAAAAAAAAAAAAAATAAATATAATTCGGTAAATCTGGGTGTTTAAAAAAAAAATATAGATTTTTGTTATGAATAAAAAACCTGCTTAAAATGACTAATATAAGCACTTTATGTAGGTTTTGATCAGCTGGCGGACGTTATAGACAAAATTAAAAACAACCCCAATGACAGGCGAATCATTATGAGTTCTTGGAATCCAATAGATATACCGATGATGGCTCTCCCACCCTGTCATTCGCTCTCGCAATTCTACGTGTGTAACGGCGAATTATCTTGTCATCTTTATCAAAGGGCAGGTGATATGGGATTGGGAGTTCCTTTCAATATTGCTTCGTATGCCCTACTTACTTGCATGATTGCTCACGTGACTTTCTTAAAGGTACATATTTTCTGTTCTCAAATATATGTATTATATGTTATAGATAATTTTACAGAAGAATGCAATGACGCAGCTGTTTACGTTGTCACGCAATAACTATTATGTTTATAAAAATTATTTAATTGATTCTCTTAATCATTTTCTTTATTTTAATTACTAACTTATTAATCTGTAAAATAAAATAATATTTTATAAAACATACGTATAAATGACATTACAACACGTATTATACATTGCTCTTAAAATCAGTTATAATGTATTATTATAGAATATCATTGGTAACCAAGAAAATAAATAAAAATTTAATAATAATCATACTAAATTTTGATGAAAATTTATATATTTAGTCAAACAAAAAATTTTACTTCAGCTTTTCTACGATATTTTAGTTTAAGTACACGGCTTTTAAGCAATAAATGGAAAACATTATTATTGTTAATACGAAAAGTAAAGGGTTTATTAATCTTTAGCTTTATGAATGACGGAGACACTAGGAAAGCAGTGTTTTTGAAAAAAAAAAAAAAGAAGAAAAAAAATGCTATCGTTAGTGCTGAAAAGCTATATTAAAAAGCTCTCGATTTACATTATTTTAAGTAAAAATATAATATTTATGTACTTTGTAACAAAAGTATTTAACTATTTTACATTCAGTAATTGGCCACTAATAGCAAAGATTGCCGTACCGTTAGAAATTAAACTTCGATAAAAAAGTGTTTTCACTCTTATATGAAATTGGATACTCATATGAAATTGGACATATGGGTACTAATTTACAAATAATATAGATGGAAGTTCATATAATTATCTGATTCTTCTACTGACTCTTCCTTCTTCTTCTTTTCTTCCTAGAATCGCGAACGATAACTATGTTAGGACAACAATTGCCCATTTGACATTAAATTGAAATAATATCATAAGAAATTATAGAATAGAAATTTATAAATAATGTCGATTTATCGAAAAGGAATTGAAATAGAAAAATAAGTTTACGTTCAAATACGCAGTTGTTCGATCGAGAAAAAACATAAATAATATCATGATAGATTAAAAATAAAATATGCGATCGGCCATAGATGCATACCTGCGCGCGAACGCAGACGCGATTCGCAACATTTTTATATAATAATTATAAAATTAATGCATCCAAAAATTTTAATCCACAGCCTGGAGAGTTTATTCACACTATTGGAGATACGCATGTGTATCGTAACCATGTTGAGGCAGTACAGGAGCAAATATTACGCAAGCCAAGGCCATTTCCGAAACTCAGAATAACGAGAGATGTTAAGGACATTGACGACTTTGAGTTCACCGATTTTCAACTAGAAAATTACAATCCACATCCTAAACTCTCTATGCCAATGGCTCTTTAGAAAGTTACCCAAATTGTGTAGATAATTCCATCTTTTTTATATCTTTTAATTTAATCGTAATTTTGAATTCGCAATGACGAACAGCCATTGTGATTGTACATACATTCATAATTTAAGTTTAATTCGCCTATTAAGACTAATTTTAAATGCTATAAATAAAACATGTGCACGTGTGCACGTGCGCGCGTGTGATTTGAATCTAACAAATTGATAATTATGTGACATTATGGACATAGTTTGCACGTTATTTTATTATCTTGTATATTAGACAGTGCATTATATAGTATTAATATTTAATTAATTAATCTTCGTACTTACGTAATGATGCTTACATATTCTAATAGAAAATTTAAAAAAAAAAAAAAAAAAAAAATCTCAGATTAATGTTTTTTATGTTGACTTAATGAAGTCTTATTTAAATTTTCTAGCTTTATAGAAAATTTAATAAAATGCGATGAAATACTACAAATTTTATTTATAATTCCAAAGCTGTCAATCATAAACTATATATTTATGTTTAATAAGAAAATTATTTAGTACGTTTTTATTTTAACACCATATTTATCTTATTTTATGCGCTTAATTACATTGTAGATTATATATATTTTATATTTTACATTCAGTAGTTGCATTCCTTTTCTGCTTTTTATTGTTATTGTTATTATTATTATTATTATTATTATTATTATATTGCGCTAATAAAAATATTTAAATGTCAACAGTCTTGTAAATGTATTTAATAAATAAATTTATCTATTAAATTGTATATTAATATAATAAATTATATATTAAACTGATAAATACTTATCCCAAACATTAACAATGGTACATGCAAATATATTTATATATATATATATATATATATATATTTTTTTTTTTCATATACAAGATAAGTAAAAAGTACAAAAATGAATGTTATTTTTATTATCAAAATCAACAACGAACAATAATTTTGAACCTATTTATACATTTATATATAGGATAAACTATAATAAACAATATTTATAGAATTATGTAAAATTATGTTCAGTAGCATTATTAAATTTAGAAATGATAAATTTTCAATTATGGTCGAAATTTCAAATGCTTACCAAATAGCATGTGTACTGATATGTACAGTTCTATGATTTTATATCGCAAGTGCGATAGGAGGAAGGAACATTTGATAATACATTATCCACTTGGGAATTAAAAATGCTTGAACACACATATAGCTAAAGCGAGTCTCGAAGAAGACGTCGGTGCACTATTCCATCCGAATGACCATCCGCCATCCATTTATCATATAAAAGAATATATATAAGACGAGTCGAAGGGCGAATAACTTTGTTTATACAACAAAACTCCGGCCAATATAACAAGGTGCATGCATTACAGGGACAATCGATACATCGAGTGCCAGATGTGACGGCTGAGAGCTTCAAATATAACAAATAGCAATTCTTAATAACAAATTACACCACGAGGACAAGGGAGTGCACTGCGCCCTGGCCCATATAAACTTATGAATTTTGGAGTCGCCCTCGTGGTCGACATAATTCAATGCAGGTTGATCAAATAATCAGCCAAGTTCATCAACGAAGCAAATTATATCGACTTTTGCGGGAATCGGCCGAACCTAGAATAGAAAAAAGCGCGATAGAATAAGCAGTGAAAGTCTCCACGGCATTTATAAGCTTGACTATAATCGAGGCTATAGAATTTCTTCCAGATCGATAAAAAAAAAAAAAAAAAAAAAAAAAAAAAAAAAAAAAAAAAAAAAAGAAAGAAAGATAAAAAAAACAAATAAAATTGATAATTATTCGTGAGATTGGCTGGTTCCTGGGACTAGTCGACATCTTGCCAATTTACTTGGAAGGTAATATATTTAGGAGAGCGGTCTCCTAGTTATTTATCGACTTAGCGAATAAGGTCTCGACGAAAATATCAGACAAGAGCTGCAGTTATTGTGTTGCGATTCGTATCGTAAAATCAATCTGGGAGGTAAAAGTGAGCAGAGCTTATTTGGAAATACCTGGGTGTGTCAGCGCACCGACATATTGTAATGTAACGAATTACTCGTGCGAGTACTTGGAGATATGGAACAGCTTTGAACTAATATTTGATTTGAATACCGGAAGATGAGCAATTACACATCGTTGCCATCACCATTTAAAAGCGAATTATACCGGGAGAAGGCACACAATATGTGACATCCGTCACACGTTAGTGGTAAATCACTGCAGCATAAGTTAATGTTTATAATATGTATTCACGAGGAGGACATTTGAGATTCAAATTGTGTCATTTTCGATGAGCAAACTGCTCGGGGATAGCAAATGAGACAGCAAATAGCGTACAAGCAGCGGGGGAGATTATCCCTTGATGTAAACACTGTATCGAATGTGCGACAATGATGGAAGGTACGGATAATCGATTTTTAGCTGTATAAATTGGAAAGGAATGTTTGCGTAAGATCGAAGAAAAATCCTATTGTCATTCGTCTGAAGAGCATAAAATACAAAAAAATCAACTCTCTAACACAAAATTCAGTACATTTGCGTAATATGCATTATGCAATTAATTAATACACTACACATTTTAATGGCAGAATTAGATAAGATAAATAATAGGAGAATTTAATAAACAGTGCTAATTTATTTTTATAAAGAACAGAACGTTTGACAAAATGATAAAGCAGAAAACTTCTTCTTATTAAATTAATTATTAAACTTACAATCTGGATAATTATTAATAATTATAAGTATAAACGCCTGTTTCATTTTTATAATTTCTTTACAAAATATATTATCAATAAATGATGCTTTATTGTATGTAATCTTCAGGTTAATACGGATTCAATGAAACTGATTAATTTTATTTATCGTTAAGGCCGTTTCCAATACTCTTAATGTTATTGGACTAATTATTACTATCTACTTTCTTATTATGACAAATCGTCTTTATGGCTTTTTTTTATAAGAAATAATTTTGTCAGAAAATTGCTAAATCTTTGCAAAAAGTCACCCTATTACAAGCGTACGTTTCTATAACTTTGGCAACAGGATGATATAGTGATAAAGTGCTAAAGCGATAAAGCACTTAACTAAACTTATTTTGTTTAAATATAAACAAGCTGCTTTTAAAAATTATAATAAAAGTAGTGATAGATTAAAACGAATTTATTTTCATACATCTAAATACTGGAATTATTATTTGAAAATAATTTATATTCCAGAAGTAGTTTCATAGAAATTTTCATACAAACTCTGCAAACTTAGATTAAGAAGCAAATTCAATATATATTTCTTTTATTCAAATTAATTTATGGCTGATAAAACATCAACTTAACCGGTAACAGTTGATTAAGTAAACTAGACTATTTTTGTAAAATACCTTACAAAACTATCATAAATAAAATTGTTATATTAATTAATAAATTATTTTATTGATATATAAAGATATTTATTACTCTCCTCTTACAGTGAAATATATGCATCGCACATAGTAGCTATATCATTTTATTATAAATTTTGAATACTATTATTAGCATAATAATAATTTATTATTTATAGAAGTTTTTTATGAAATTAATTCAGAATGTTTACATCATGCTCGTTCCTTATAATAATAATTATTAATACTCAATTTGAGACAGAAGTTTTTAATTTATAAAATAATGGTATAAAATTTTATCATGTTTAAATAAAGTAATTATTTCTTTATTAAATATTTTTATAATTCAGAAAAATACCTGACTATATGAATAAATTGGATGTATTACATTTTTGCTTATGTATCGAAAATATACTGTGATTTTTTATTATATCAGTAAATAATTTTGTAATAATCGGCCAGAACAGAGATATTTTAGCCTTAGCATGTTCATACAGAATTTATAATTGATTCTTTTATATTAAATATGTCTGTACAATGCCATCAATAAATAAGCAAACAAACAGTTTATTAATTAATGGAATACGTCATTGAGAAATATTTGATTTTTTCCTTATTAATTAGTGCGTTGTAAAAATTTTATGGCAACATTCTGTTTTAAATATCCAAATTATTTTATAAAAAATTCATCTTCCATTTTAGTTCACTCAAATATGTGTATTTAATTAAAATTTTTCAGTTATAAATATTTGAATTATTGTACCAAGTATTAATGGCTTTGGAAAACATTAAACTTCTTTGTATATCAAAGCGATAAAATAATCTATGAAATACAAACAGCACAAGCTTTAATAAACTATTTTTATATCTTCACAAGTATATTATCAATTGATAATAATCAAATTAAACGATCGACAAAACTGTATTAGGACTTTTATGTTAATATAAGTATAAGTGTGCGACTCTGTTTGCATTCCATTGCTTAAGATAATGTGACAGAGTATTGTTATAATACAATTAGCAGACTAAATTTGTAAATTAAAATTTCATAGCGAATCTCCAGAATTTAATCAATTAACCTTTCCTTTGCGCATAAAATCTCATATTTATAATATTGATCATAACAATTTGTTTTATTTGATGTTTAATCGGATTAATGCCAACTAGCATTCAATGTTATTAATCTTAAATTATTAGTTACCAAATAATAAACAGCTTGATTACAGTATGGCGGGGTCATGTTTACCATCCACAATGGCATTAAACATTAAAATTCCGTTCAAATTCATACGGGCATTCCGTAAATACAGATTTTTGCATAAAAATAACGATACATTGACTTAAAAGAAACAAAACGAAAGTGAATTATTGTTATTGTTATTGTTATTGTTATTGTTATTGTTATTATTATTATTATTATTATTATTATTATTATAACAATTTCAGAGAAATACCTCGTTCCAGTTTCAAGCTTTAATAATGATAATAATGCCGTGAAGCGAATCTGCCAATATATCTACAATTTCCATTGATTCCAAAAACTTGGTGACTCGCAAAATCATTAGGTATGAAAAACAAAAAAGCAGCGTTTGCTCGTTAGGCACTCGAAGATGCGAGTCGGCAATTAAGCAGTAATGGCATTATTTCGATAAATCGTCCCTGTTTGTATTGGCAGCCCTAGGTATCCGGCGGTGAGTCGAGAGTACGACGTGACGTACGATACGGTTGGCGACGGTGGGTGGGTCGGCCAGGGCGGGGGCGGTACGCGGTGTCGGTGGGGATGGTGGTGGTATAGCGGCCAATGGTGGGGGACATCCGCTATCCGGCCTAATGGCGTCGACTTATAAGCACTGTTGTCACGTTTTCCCGTACAGTGTTTCATTATTTTGCTTTGTTTATATCGTTGCATTTGAGAGATCCCGCGACCGCTGATCGACCCAGGTGTCATCGCGCGCGGGTGCCGCGACGCGCGCCCCTGTACAGATAAGCCGGCGTATTAGTTTTTTTCATCGGGTTTTGCGGCTGGGACGAGCAACACCCAGGAATATCGTCGCCTTCGATTAGAGACGAGGCTCTGTGACCTTGGAACCGTTGTCATCTCGCTGATGGCTAGAGGATTCGCCGCGAAATTCGAATTCCTTCCGAGACGGACAGACGACCAATTTCATAACCTCAAGTCGAAGCATACTCCTCCAAGGTTATCTTTACGATTTTTTTTATTTTCCTTTTTCTTCGTTTATTTATACCCAAACAACTTTCTCCCTCTCGCTTGTCCACGAGTCCATTTAGTTGGAGGAATTTTTATTAACTTTTTTTCTTCCCCGGACAGTTTGGAATGCTAAGTAAAGCGACGATACATCAATTGTTAAATTGTGATGGATTTTGTATGCTCATATAAATGATTAATGCACTTCACGAGGATTATCACATTTTTAGGGACAATTTTTCCTCTCGGTAGATTTATTTAGAAACTCCGTCCGACAAGAAAATAATAAATACTCCTAATTATGCATCGGAATTTAATCTTGAAAAATCTTAGCCAAAGATGTATTTGTATAATTATGCGATATTGTTTGAATAGACATGGTAAATAAAAGTATCAAATAAATGTGTCTATCAACTATCCATTCCAGCAATAACAACGATAGCAATTACAATGATTTATAAATTGGATGGATTAGATCAAAACGTAATAACCAATTGATTGTTTAAGCTGTAATAAAGAAAATAATGAAGAATAATAAAACGTATTTGCTTAAAAATTCTATACTTATGTTACATTAAGTTCAGAGTAATTGGTGTAAATAAAAGAGTAAGATTAGTTTTTCACCCACAATTTATATAGATTACTTTAAATGCAAATATATCCTTATAAATTAATTTTCCAAGTGTTAGGATTTTGTTCTGTATTGTTATAAACGAGATATCTATTAATATAACTTGAAAAATGAAGATTTTACTTTTTACAAATTTGGTTTATTTATACATGTTTACATACGCGGGCGCACTCACGCACGCACGCACGCACGCACGCACACTCGCACACTCGCGCATGCACGTACACACGCGAACACGCGCGCGCACCAATAATTAATATTTTTTAATTTTTAAAGCTAATTGAGAAAGTGTATAATGACAAATATAACTGCTAATTTGTAAATGAATAGGTATTACATATGATTATTTATACAAAATCTATAAATAAAATTCTTTAGCATTGAATATATAATTATTCTTAATGTTTAATTAATCATCCTTATGTTTTATTTAACCAATTTATTATAATTCATTATAATTATTTTATGTGGATCACTTAAAATGTATAAAATATAATTTCATATATCAATTATGTAATTAATCATTCATTAATGTTCTAAATGATTGTCGATTAGTGATAAATAAGTATTTTAATATTATTAATTTTTATTTTAATACAGATGCTTAGTAAATAAAGATTTGAATGTGTAAAATTTACGCTAAAAAATTTATATAAATCAAGCAGCCATGGAGGTTACAACAGAAGAAGAAGCTCAAGCAGTTTTGCTAGAAGGTATGGAAGGAACTCAATATATTACTATCCAAAGAGCTGATGGAGAAAGTCTTGGTAAAGGAGTACCGCTGTTTACATTAAATGGTGAATTGATATCGGAGGGAATGGTAGTCGATATGATTAATGGCGTTGGAGCAGATTATAGCACAAGCACTCAATATTACGAGACTGAAGATTTATTGCCTCATGTATTGACAGAGGTATAGCTACAAATTATACTATAACTATTTATAAAATATTTGTATACGCTTATGTATTATTGACACTAAATATATTGTAATTTTAATAAATAGGAGGATCGAAGACTGGCAGCAGCTCTTGTTGCAGTTCAATTGCAACAGCAGCAAAAACAGCAGCAAATTCATAGTCATCCAAATACAGATGATCCGACTTTACAAGATGTTACACAACTAGAAAATTTACCTCCCGTCAATGCCTATTCAATTCAAACGATTCAAGAACAAAATCCACCTCCAGTTTATCCATTGTTGCATACTTTTAAAAGAGGGATTCAGCATATAAAAGAAGAGTTCATTGATGTGAAGTGCGAAGATGATGTAGATATTTCTGCGGAAAGTAGCGAAGATGCAGTAGTTACGCCTGGCCTTAAAAGGTCACTACCTCATAAAAAGAGAATTCCTAGAAAATTAAAGCAACAAAGTAAGAAAAGTGTGGCAAAAAAAGAAGGTATTCGTATGAATCAGGATGCGTTGATCACAGATTTAACTGCAAAAATTCAGGGAAATGCCTTTAAATGTGAACTTTGTGGAAATAAATTTAATGGGCAACTTAAATTTTTTGAACATTTAAAGGTAAATTAATATTTTTTTAAAAAAATATTAACCATTACATTTGATGTATCTAATTAAATAAATATTATTTTTTAAATATTAAAGAACACAAAATGTGAGATGTTGAAAATAGATAATTATTATATATAAAAAAGATACGAGAGCATTAATCATTTGCAAATTGTAAACGTAATGTAATAAATGTATGAAGCTTTTTATTTATATTAAACGTGTCATTGAAACATCTAATATAAAAACATATTATTCTCAAAATAGGATTGAATTTTCATCCATAATAAATTGTAAATCAAAAGTATTTTATTAGGTTATGTTCAATAAGATAACTATGTTCTATTATATCTTTTTAATGCAATAATTTATTTTAGTCCCATTATGAGCCTATTAAGGAGGAAAAAAAAGTTGCAAGTCAACCTGTAAATAATATTATGATAACTATACCTAATATTTCTGAAACATCGGTACAAGGAGTAGTTCAAAATACAATTGAAGAATTTAGTGAACCCGAAGATCTTATGGAAGGAATCAGAGGCGTTGGTAAGCTCATCGTTGGTTCATAAATTGTTCAAATTAAATAGGAAAAATTTTTCTCTATCGTCGTAAGATATTTTATCTATTCATACATTATAAATTCATCGTAAGCAGGCAGAAAAAGTTATTAATTACATTTTTAATTATAATTATCTTACACGTACAATGGCAAGAGCTTATTTATATGAAATTTAAACTTAAATAACTTTTTAATTTACCGCTATTCATAATATATGGATAATTTTTAAATATACCAATTTCAATCTATTTATATGCAAGTTTTAACGGATCAAATCATTGGGGAACTAGACATTATTACTAAACAATTAAAATATAAAAAATGTAGGAATTGTTAAAAATGAACAAAATACTTAAATAAAGTGTAATTGTGTTTGAATAGTGGAGGAAACTGGTGCACACATAGATGATGACGACGACGATGTAGATGAAAATCAGTTACCCGAGTCAGGTAATACGCCGTCATTGTGGACAATATCAGAAGTGCGCGGACCTATTGAACATGAAGTCGAAGAACCTTCAATCATAAACGAAGAGGACTTATTCGAAAAGGAGAAGGCAAAAGCACCTGACCCAGTTAAAAAAAAGAAAACGAAATCGAGGAAAACGAGTATGTCATAAATTTATCAATAATTATTTTAAATCCTTAATTAAACGTTTTAAATGAACACAATTTTATAACTCGTGTATCAGAAACATAAATATTTGAATTTTTCATTTTACAGCTGATGAACTCACTTGCCCGAATTGTGATCGATCATTTCACCACAAAAACAGTCTAGTGTATCATATGCGCTCACATAGCGGTGAAAGACCTCATCAGTGCGAAGTTTGCGGAAAAAGTTTTTTTGCTGCAAGCGCACTCAAAGTATATAAATACCATTAATTATAATCATGAATAATCGTTTTTTACTTTACATAGAGAACACGAGGCAAATATATAATGACAAACTTTAGTAAAGTATTTTAGATAATATTAAGATTATATTATATTATATTATCAATTGCCATATTATGTTATTATAGTGCTCATTAAAAATTCAATTAACATTAAATTAAAATTTCAAATAACATTCGGTCTAATGTACTTAAAAGATATATATCGATGTTGTTTTAAATTGACATTTCCTTGCAGGTTCATAAACGATTGCATAGTGGAGATAAACCCTACAAGTGCGAGGATTGCGGACGTCATTTCCGCCAGTGGGGCGATCTTAAATATCATTCGACGAGTTTGCACTCGGAACAACGTCAGTTTCAGTGCGAATACTGTGGCAAGGATTTTGCACGCAAATACTCGCTAATCGTCCATCGGCGTATTCATACCGGTGAAAAGAATTATCGTTGCGAGTACTGCAGTAAAACGTTCCGTGCTAGTAGTTATTTGCAAAATCATCGTAGAATACATACGGGGGAGAAACCACATCCATGTGATGTATGTGGTAAACCTTTTCGCGTGCGCAGCGATATGAAACGACATATGCTTACTCATTCGCGTACTGGTAATCGTGCCGACAGGTTGCAGTCAAAAAATACGGCAGCGTTAAAAACGCAGGCAAATGGTAATTATTACTGTTCAATTAGCAAGTACTTATTAGTTTTGCGCTTCGAAAGGAAAGGCTTTTAAAAATAACGTCTCATTAAAAGAAAGAGAAGATTTTTTTTCCAACTTTTAAAGATTCACATATTATTTTTCTATTTCTATTCGAAACTTTATCTTGAAAAATAAAAAATATATATTTATATACATATATGCTTTTTGCATGTGTTATATACGCTTTGAAAGATGTGAATTAAATTGATATTTATTTATCTATGTTGATATCTATTAGTTTTATAATTTCCATCAAAATGGTCAATATATTATATACGTAAGTAACATAAGGATTTTTTTTTTTTTTATAACGATAATCCAATATTAACGTAATTTTAATACGATGTGTTACTTTAAACAGTTACGTTTCAAATCAACACAAAAGCATTTAATATAAATATCTCTAAGTATTTGCAAGCTGTTGTTATATACTTTACTAACTAAATATCATTGATTTCGTTCAGCGAGTAGCAATAGTAGCGACGACGATGGGATTAACAAAACGAGTAGAACGATAAATGAGATCGTCCATGAGCTAAAGTTGGAGGTCGATCCAAACACAACGGTTGTCGAATTAGTAGGGACCACTGCGAATACGGATGAAACTTCAGAAAGTATTTTACCACATGTGAGCGTACAGACATTGGGGTACGCAACAATCGCGGCGACGCAACCTAGTGCTGGGACTATTGGTGAAACGGGAAGTGACAGAGATCCTCTTGAAGCTGTTGTAGCTCGAACAAATGATACTTTGTGAGTCTTTTATTACTTTATGAAAGGTCGTTGACAGTTGACTAATGATATCAACGTATATATATATATATATATAGGAAAATAATTTTTATTATTTTCTAAATGAAGCTTTTGATGGAAACGATTAAGAAATTGGTTCTTTCTTTTTATATTTAAATCTATGATTTATAGTTTCATATTTTTTGTTGAAAAGCTGAAAAAAGGAAAATTTTCAAAATACACGGGCATTTAAAATGTAAATGTGTGGCGCGATAAATAATATAAAATAAATTTCATTCAAATAATAAATTATTTATAAATATGATCAATTTTTGAAATTATATCAAGGTATGTAGTTTTTGAAAAAAGTATGCATCTGCTATGATAAGCTTTTAATAATTGCAATTACATTTGCCGAACCAAAAGGAAGAGCTGTTGGTACTACTTCTGAAAATTGATTTTGAAAAACGTTCACATAAGTATACATCCGTCTATTAGATTTAGAAAATTGTAAATGATTTTCTAGAACAATTTGTTACAGCAATTCATGCAACAACTATGATTTTTCAGTTTCGTAAATTACTAATTTGACATTGAACTACATTCATAAAAATTTGTATATTTAAACAAAATATTCGTCATTCTATTATAAAATGTATGGTTTTACGTTGATTGCATATTATAATTAAATATTAAATTTAGCATGCAAAATTTTTAGCAAAATAAGTTTCCAATCGAATGCATTTAATTATAAAAGATTTACAATACTCGTTTAAAATAATTTTTCTATACTTTATACTCTCTCTCTCTCTCTCTCTCTCTCTCTCTCTCTCTCTCTCTCTCTCTCTCTCTATTATTTAATGTCAAAAAACTATTTTTATATGTCGTAAGATCCTAATATAATTCATTCCACCTTTTTTTTTTCATTTCAGAAACTTCGACATGCAAGTATTTTATTAATTTGGAGAAAAAAAATGATAACCGGTGATTGACATTACTTCGTCTTACAATAGATAAGCAATTACGTGGATTAAGCTATTGGTTAGCTTTGTTAACAGCTTATATTGATTTATATAAAGAAAAATCTAGTTCGATTTTTCTTCTTAATGAAATTATAATTCTGTTTATTTTCAAAAAAGACTGTGTAAAACATTTTTAAATGTTCGGGTAAAGTATGTACGTTTAAAATATATAGATCGGTCGCAGATTTTGATATATTTATCGTGTTAAAGTTAATATTATTTTAATTTTACTCAACCAAATTATTTACAAATTATTTTTGTTTCTTAATTAAGTAATAAGGAATAGTGTTTAGTATAAACAAATATTTCTATTAAAAAAAGTAAGAAATGTATAAATTTTATATGTATAATATGTATAAGAAAAATCTTAAGTACTTTTTACTATGTAAGCTAGATTTATTAATGGATTTATGGCAATGCTGGTATTAATGTATAGATTTATAATTTTTTTCAATTTCGTTTTTAAATTATAAAATGATCACGAAGACGATATCGCTTATCTTGCACAACCGACCTGTATATACGCATTGCACTCTTATAGATATATTCTACGTATGTATTGTATGAACGTATATAACATATACTGTAATGTTATTAGCGACAGTATATTTGTAAGTTTTAATTCTTAATCTACTTAGCAATTTATACACAGATTAACGTTGAAAAATATATTTTTTATTACATGGCAACGTTTATAGAAAGTTAAATCTTTTTGTTTTGAAAAATCTCTGTAATTATCTTCCCGTTACAATAATACTGGCACTGAGACACTAGCTGCAGACATATCTTTTCCAATAAAGGCCTGAAGTAGTAATGCCATATCCATTGATTCAATTGCAGAATGTAACTTTTCAGATGCTTGTTTACTCGAGATCCTAAATTTAAAATTTAAAATAGATTATTAATTTAATAGTATATTTTTGTATGATAAAATTCATAGTTTATTGCAAAAATTTTTATAGTTAGCCGTACGCTTTCTTTTATCTATTTTTATTTTATTATAAATAAAGTTTTATTTAAGTTATAAATTATTAAAATTTAAAAATAATGTTAAAGTAAATGGAGTTATTTTAATCTGATCTCAAAACATATCTCAAAAGTTAATTTTTTAGACATAATAGACAGATGTTAATAACGCTAATCGAGGAAAAATTGCATTTCATCGTACTATTTAATTAATTTTGAATCATTTGAATGCCCTTCAAAGCATATTGAAATAGAAAAAATTATTTAAAATTATATATATATATATATATATATATATATATATATACACATCTCTCGATTAAAGTTAGTTACCAATTTTTGAATATATTATGTTTATCCACTTGAAAATAGAAATTATTATCCGATAAAAAGTTTTATATTATAAAAATATTTGTTTTAATAATTAACATTAACTACATAAAATTATTATTCCTTAATATAAGTAATTATGTCAATTTTACCTGCGAGAACCCTTAGCACGTTCCCAGTCTACATATAAATCTGTAATAATCGCATGTAATCTTTGCAACGCATCACAACTTTTTGTCATTTGTTGTCGCAAATCAGATTCATTTTTTATAAGATTTTGATATTCAGTGCACATGTCTGCAGGATTATTTTTCATTTCCCATGTATCAAGAGTATCCAGAATATTTATCTTTTCCACAAGTTCGTTCAAAGTCGTTAATTTTGGAAGGATCAATTCTAAAACTTTGGTTATACTATCATCAGCAATGTCTAGATCATTAGAAAATATAGATGATTATTCTATTCAACTGTTCAAACTTATTATTTGTATTATATTTCATAATAGTTACTACATTCTTATTACCACAAAAAACTTCGAGTTTGATTTTTCTTTGAGTAGCTTTTTTAGTGAGAATATCTCGTAAAATAATTATCGTTGATATATTTTCACTAAAAAAAGAAGCCGTACCTTTCCTAAAAAATAATAATAATCATCGTAACAACAATAATAAATAATGAAATAACATGATGAATAATAATAATAATAGTTTAAATTTTTTAATTTTTTTACTTATTTTTATCATTTTAATATTTGCATGTATATATATATATATATATATATATACTATTTATGTGAATAATTTTGATAAAAGCTGATTATACACATTAAAAACTAAATAAAATATTAAATATTAAAAACTAAATAACTAACTAAAAAAAAGAAATAAAAATTATCTTTCAATATTAGCTATTAATACTAAGTTGTAATTATAGGTAATGAGTTTCTTATCAATGTTATAATTTCTGGGAAAACCCCCAACCGTAATCATTCCTGGGAAAACCCCCAACCGTTATCATTTCTGGGAAAACCTACAACGACCGTTGGACATCCGGAAAAGCCATTACATCCGAAAAAACAAGTGTACAATCGCATCCATTCTTTCTAGCACCATAATCGCCCTCCTTGTTGTCAGCCAACTAAGCCGTCACGTGGATATTTAAGGCAAGCGCACGACGAGGTAGGTGCTTTTCAGACAAGAACTAGTCACTCGGGAACTACTTGCATAATCTCACGCACTCTCTCAAGGAACCTCTCATTCAGTGCCAACACGCACTTTCAGCTAGGAATCTCATCTCATGTTGAGAGCAAGCGCACTCTCAACATCGAACCATCTCTTCAAGCTTCCATACCACGAGACATCAAGAAGGAGACGATGGTCAGGCACTGCACGAAGAAGTATACAGAGATTTGCGATCTCCCACCCCTACAACTACTGCATGCTAACTCCATGTGGCAACAACCCAAGAATCATTAGAGTCTATTTGTCAAATAAAATGCAATAAACAAGCACGAAAAGCAGATCTGTTGAATACTGAATTGAACCATTACCCATTCCACTTATTCACACTTTTTATCACCAGATTTTTTATAATTTTAAATTGAATATAATAAAAAATTTTTTTAGCGCACAAATTACATGAATAAAAATATGTCTCGATTAAAGGTGAAATTTAAATTTCTAAAACATTTCAATATAAACATATTATAAAGCATTTAATTTGCTTTTCTAGTACATAATACGACATTAATTTTAAATAAGAAATTTTTTCAAAATAAAACATGAAGAATTTGCAAGAATGCAAAAAAAAAAAGGTGCAAAAATTATTTAAAAGCCGACAGCTTTTCGACTTATTTAATGTGAATGATTTCACTTACTTATATTTACACTTTAATATTGTACCAATTAAAGTTGATGTGTAAATCATAATAGCTTCTGATCCCTCTTCGATCAACGGCCTTTCTGGTACATCAAATAATGCAAAAGCAAGCCATGCGTGCATCTTAAATTCGTAAGAAAATAAAAAAAAAATTATTACATTACTTTATCTCAATGGTTTCAATTTACAGTTACTTTTTTTTTTTTTTTTTTTTATATAATATAATAATTACTTCTGCCAATGTAAATCCACCAATCAATCTTAATTCATTGAATGGGCCCGATATTGATTCGTTATCTTCAATGAATAATCTTGTATGAAGAGATAAGGCACATATGGGGATTAATAATTTTCGGCAACATTTTGGTTGTATCTAAATGTTAATTAATTTATTTAATTAGGGGATGGGGCGGGGGAAAGAATAAGCAAACATTACTTTTGACTATATTTCCAAGTAAAATTGATTAAAACTTTAAAGCAATTAAGGAAATATTAAAAACGCTAACAATAATTTGCTTAAGCGTATGTTGAAATATTGTTTATAATGATTAAACAAAATATATATAATTTAAATGTGAGCTCAGTATATAATTACATCATTTTGTCTATATTTATCAATATATATTCTTATAATCAAGCTCACAATATCATTATAATCAATGTCATTAGTTTAATTAATACAAGTAATATCATTAATCTATGCAGTTGTAATACAAGCAAATGATTAATTTTTATAATAATTTATTAAAAGCAAGTTTTTACAAATTCAATAATATTTCATGCCTTCAAACAATATCAATTGCCTTTTGTGTAAATTCCGGAAATAATCTAATTTATGGAAAGTATAAATATATACAAATATGTACCTGTGAAGTGACGTAAACTTGGAGCGTTCCAGGCTGCCCTTCAATGCTTCGCAATTTGATCTCTAATCTATTTGTATTATCCTTAAAAATAATCATTATCAAGTTATGAGTATGTGTATGATTGCATTTATACAGATATTGAGTCGACTAAGATAAATTTGGGTGAGTGTAAACAAAAATAATTACTTGACATCGATAAGTTGCTAAGAGAAAATTGCCGTCATCATGATTGCAAGTCGAGAGACTCATTACAGCATTATTGCCTTCCACGTCTAAGAGTTCGATAGGAGTATCCGATTGTATTAAAATATTATCAATTGATCTGTCGAGCTCCACCAATAAAGTATACGACGCATCTTCTTTATTTAGTATTAAGCTAAATATTTAATAAAATAATGTGAACATTTTAAGTGCATTAAAATTGTTTATAATATACAGCATAATAATCAACTACGAAAATTATAATATATTTAGAATACATTAACATACAAATAAATATTAATGTAAAAAAATGAAAATATTTTTTAAATATGTATTTAACTTATTACGATTTTAATGTTTTTAAAGATTTTCTAAAAATACTGCGCATTTTTAAGAGAAAACAAAAATTATATTAGAGGATATTTTTTTTTATATATATAAATTAATTATTTTATAGTTTCATTCCTACAATTTTTGCCCGTAAACTTCATGCATTAGAATGTTAATTTTTTAATATGAAAAATAATTATTTGCTATGGTGTTGTGATAACGTAGTTATATCAGATTCATTTAATTCTACTTCATAATCACATTTCTTATTTCTATAAAGTTTATTTTACTACGATTTTTGACAAATATTGTATGCATTTTTAATTTAGAGCATAATAACGCAAATTAATTAATTACGTTATTTTCAATTAAATAAATAAATGTTACTTAATAATTTAATTATAAATTTAATTACTTATAATTAAATCATCGAAAGAATTTTATCATATTTATAGTACAATACATTAGATTATTTTGGTATTATCATTTTTATATATTTACATATTTTTCCATATATTATCTGACCATTAATTTTATAAATCTAATTGTTATAATTGGCATTTTTTATTTTTATTTTATTTTCTAATTTAAAATACGAATATTTTATCATAAGAAGACTATTATTATAATTAATCCTATAAATATTAAAACCCAAAATATACTTTTTAAATAGTTATATTAGTTTGATAGTATTTATAATCAAATAAAATCATATATATATATATATATATATATATATATATATGATTTTATATAAGAAAATAAATATTCATAACGTTTACTATACAATAGAAGTATTTTTATATGAAAATTTTATTACTTCACTAGTTACCTTTAAATGCTATTAATAATATTTAAATAAAATTATTGTATTTGTTGATTATATACAAAATTTTAAATAACTTATACATTTTTCTTGATAATTATAACTTCATTAATATACATATCATGTAATTTTTTTTTCTTCAAATTTCATTTTTCTTGTCAAGGCAAAAATAATTAAGTTTTCTAGTAGAAATTTTTAAACGATTAGCATAAATTTTTTAACACGAAGGCATATATTTTATAGATTTGTGGTTTATACAAAAACATTTCTATGAAAAATACAAGTGTTATAAGTTTTTAATTATATGTATTTATCGATTTGATTGAATAGTACACATTTTAAAGGATCATTTTGTAAATAAGCAAATCAATGAATTTGAATTAGATTTTCTTAATATGATTTTTTTTTGTAATTATAATAATTCAAACATAGTTTTCCCCTAATCAATCTAAAGTAATATTTGTTTTCTTCTTTTGATAATAGTTGTAACCTTATTAAGTAGATTTTTAATTGCCAATACGTGATGTATATAATATATATATATATATATATATATATATATATATATATTTCATTAATTTCAATATATTCTTAATTTATCTATACATAATAAAGTTATACGAACCGATGATTAACTGATAAAATTAACGGACTTAGCGTATCCTCAGAATGGAGTGATCCCATGTACTCTTTTTTCAATTCTTCTTGTAATTGCTGAATTTCAAATTTCAATTTATTTATTCCTAATTTTCCTTGATTTAACTCTAAAAATCCCGACGATTTTGACGTTAAACCAAACACTTTACCCGAATAAGTTGTTACTAAAAGTTCTGGACAATCATCGGAACTTATTATTCCGCCTATTACCGAGCTAATACTCTCTCCTGCATTCTGTAAATTAAGACAAAGGAAGATGCTAATTATCAATGAATATCATTTACCAAGAGAAAATAGAAACTAAATGAGGGATAAGCCTTTTAGGTAAAATAAAATTGAAATTACATGTGGAATAAGAGGGCTTATATGTTGCAGACTAAGACAATAATTAAGTCAATTAAAGAATACTGTTAAAATTGTCTATTTAAATTATAATGTTACAAAGAATAAAAATATAAATAACACAGGAAAACGGAAAAAAAGAGAAAATTTAGAAATTCATATTTTCACGAAGCAAAAAAAAAAAAAAAAAAATTACAACAATTTTTATTATTAGCTTAAGATAATAAATTATTACAATAATCAAAATGCAACTTACATAACGAAAGCGAAGAAGTGGTAATATATCTTCGTCAGAGGGTAATGTGTAAACTTCAATGGACCCATCTTGCCTTCCGATAATTAAATCCAAACTGTCTTGAATTTCATAAGAATCCAGAGCAGTTATTTCTGAATTCATTTTAGTCAATACCCAACTTATTCTTATATTTTTTTCATTGTCTAACATTAGTAAACCAACTTTACCATCTATCGTGCCCATTAGAATTCGGTCGTGTGATTCCTTATCCCCTTCTCTAAATTTAAAATCTTTTTAAACATTTTATAAACTTTATATTAAAAAGTACTATACCAATGTGAACTGCAGACTAAATAAGCAAACTTTATTGCAATACATCCACCATTTAAATAGAAATATCTTTCATTTTGTAATGTTTTAGTACTTAGCGTATAAGTAATAAATTATTCGTATCATTTTTCAAATCTTTTACCGTTTATAGAACTATTCTGGAAACTTCTAATATTTATTTTATAAATAATATTTTACATAAAATATACAGAATTATGTTTCTAATATTGCGGACGTTGCTTACATATTATTGCCATATGCAGTAAGAATACTCATTATTTAAAAATGTTTATATTTTATTGTATATCGAAATAATATATTCGTTGTGTATCCATATTTTATGTATTCAAAGTTACTAGCTACTCAAAAAATAAAATTTAATTGAATAACAAATTAACAATTAATAAATGTTTTATGAGTGATGAAGCATAGTAATTTTTATAAATTGTGATGATATTTCTGACAAACTTTCCATAGTATCACTAACTAAATAAATGCGAATTTAATTAGCCTATATAGTACTTTTTATAATAGATATTCTTATATTGATAATTTAGATAAATATTTATATAAAAATCATACCTATAGAGTGAAAGTATCGTCGGTATACTCGCGAGTCTTAATATTGATGGATTTTTTGTGCCACGCAGTACTCTAATCTAAGTATAAAAATTATTTATTTTCTATAAAGTCATTTATTAATTTATTTAAAAGTTTTAATTTTATAAAATTAATTTTTGTATTGGGTCATTTCATATATATATATATATATATATATATATATATATATATATATATATGAAAGAGAAATTGAGTAATATCAATTTTAATTTATAATTCAAAAAAATAATATTAAAATTATATTAAAGCATGCTTTTGTATCTAAATTTATGTTAAATCTTCGGTGACAATGTGCATTTGATAAAAATCAGTAAAATAAACATAATTTGTAAATTAACATATTTTTCGTAAATAATATGAATTAATTACTTTCTACTATGGAAGTGTATGATGCAATCATAATTATTAGTAATAATTTTTGCATAAAATTTGTTAATTCCTCTATAAGCGATAATGCAATTTAAAAATATTATGTAAATCCTTCCAAACAAATATACAATTTATAAATATACAAACATTACATTTTTATTCGACTTTCTACTTATTCTATTTATATATTATCTTTTGTTGGCTTTGGCTATGGTTAATGACTTGATTACTTTTATGTACTTATTCTATAAATGGTCTAAAAAAAAGAAAGACAAGATATCGTTCGTTAGGATAGAATACGATAAAATACTGTCCGATCTTGTTCTAAAAGAGAAAAATAAGAGATATTAAAGATAAAATGAAGTATTAATTGGAATGATGGATGCCTAGTATCAATTTAATAGACATCCGCTTAACTTTCATAAAATTCGTCAAGCAATTATTACAGGAGGATTTATCACGTTCGTCCATTATTTATTGCACGAATTGATTAACAGAATTCGAGTGGAAGAAAATAATGAAATTAAATCAGACGATATTGCTTCAGGTAAAGGTAAGGTTTGAAGAAAAAATTCCACTTAATTGGCTTAGTCTTTATGCGTATGTTAACAAGCGCATTTGTTATTGTCGGGGTAAGTATGTCACGGTACTTCCTTCCATCATCGTCGCTTGTGCACAAAAGATATTTTAATTCTGCTCCGTGACTACGAGAGGGGAATAAAAATTAAGGATAGATGACCCACTCGAAGTACAAAATAATCGCTTGTAAATTAATATTAACACAAATTCGTAGTTTGCTCTCAATTATCAAACAGTAGTTGATGTGTTTTTTTTTACAGATGAGTCAGATCATTGGCGAACGTCGGGCATTTATGAAAACTTACGACATCTTAAATAACTTGGAATAGTAATTTGAAATTACCTAGGCCTTTAATTTACATTATCGATCTAAATTCAGATCTTTTCTTATGATTTATGTAGAGTAAATTTTTATCATAAGTAATTATTAATTATAATAGACGATCGAATTTAGCTAATCGATTTGTTTCATTGTATGCGATCCAAATAGGCAATTTATCATCGAAGAAGATGATGGAAGCACAATGACCAAGATAATCATTTTCTGTAACGCTCTCGTTGAAAAGTAAAGTCGTAGTATAAATTATCCTTTCTAACCCTAATTTCTTATATTCAGATCAATGAATATAAATAAATTAATAAGCTTATGGAAAAATATAATTAATTAATGATAGAAATTAGCCTCTCTGCAATAAAAATAGAGAATATTCTATGAAAATATGTCACCGACGGTGTTCGAGTAATAAAATATAACAATACATGTTCCATAGTTTGAATATAAGTTGCGTTTAATAAATAACATAAAAAAAAAAAAAAAAAAAAAAAATAATAATAATAATAATAATAGAATTAGTAATATTACTGCACAATCGCCACAAGCAAGTACAGCAAGTACAGCTGTATTTCCAATTGGTACAAGCACAACATCATACAATTTTTCTCCAATAAGATAAGAATCGGCATCTTTACATTCTCGATAGCGATGATAAAGATCGCGAGCACATGCTGCCAAGTCTGACCCTAAAACATATCTAAAAAATGGTATTTAAACTTTTTAAATTATTTTATATATATAAACAAAAATGTACATTTAATCATTGCATTTATTATCGAAATGAAATTAATATCGCATGGTCAATTCTTATTAATTTATTACGGATCAACGTTGCTTAAACAATTAACTATTTTGTCGAGAAAAGTCTTACAAGGCCGTTATGGAATCGATGAGACCAGTCTCAAACTTAAGGAAAAGCTTTCCTTTTTTTGTATAACCTACGACGGTATTCCCGTGAGCAAGAAAGATTTTGTCTTTGGGCATCGATGTCATGCCGCCCATTACTATTCGATTTATCTTCGGCCCTGGCAGAGACTTAAATAAAACTTGAAGTTCGCCTTTTTTAAAACCTAAAATAAATATGCAAATAATAAAGGTGGATAATACATTATTTAAAATATTTATAATATAAATAATATAAGAAATTAGTTAATATTGTCATTAGTAAATTTCATTCGAAGCTGACAGTACTCTAATTTGATTAATAAATTATTATATGAATATTAAATTAAAAAAAAAAAAAAAAAAAAAAGATGAAGATCTTACTTTGTCATTCAACGATATTATTAACACGCTTGAAAATATTTAAAATATCTGCGATATTCGATTGACAGATGGGAATGGTTCATTTTAAGTAAAATATTTCTTCTGAGCGCCAAAAAAAAAAACAAAAAAAAAAACAAAAAAAAAAATTTGACATGAAACATTTTTTAGTCAAATATTAGTATAAATAACGATATGTAAACTTATATTAATACAACTAGTTTTTGATAAAAAAAAAAAAAAATAAAAAATAAGAATGAATTCGAGAAATTTATCAATTTTACAAGTTTTCAACTAAAATATATTAGATATTTCTTAATATAATTGTCATATAAAACTATGTAATTCCACTCAAACTTAATATTAACGTTATTTGATTTTCTTTTTTTAAACAATTAAAAATAATAACATTAGAAACCATTTTTTTGTTTAAATTTTATTTATCAATTCTATCAGTTTGAATCGTATATTAGTACATTGTACATTACATTACTATGGAACATTAAATATTTATGAAAATATGTATTTATCTTTACTTAGAAATGTACTTAGAAATACTTTTAGATAAAATGATCTTATATATTTCATTATGAAACCTTATTACTTGTTAAAATATTTAGAAATTAAATGCTATGAAATACTATTCTAATGCAATATACAAAATCTTAAAAGCCAAATAATTTTTTATAATACATCGAAATGAAGATTGTTTCTAAAAAAAAAAAAAAAAATAATAAAAAAAAAGAAAGAAAGTTTTCAAAACAAATTTCTGAAATATATAATAATTATTTTTTAAATTGTTCATAATAGTTATTCGCGAAAATTTACATCATACTATGCATAATAAAATTAATTGCTTAAAAGATGACGCAGTACATTGGCACTTATAAAGCCTTCAGCATCTAATGCAAATAAAAGAAAATATCATGCTAATAATTACAAAAAATATGTAAAACTCCATCATGATCAGCAACAGCAAATTTCTGCGATTGTTTTGTTTCTGATGCAAAAACACAGGTGGTACCACGCGATGTAACGCCTACATTCACATAATCCACTCGTGTTAGTAGAATCGACATATTTACTATCAATTGCCAATAACTAGAATATTAATGTCATTAATGTATTAGAAATAATTTATAATAATTAATCGTCCATGAGATTATATGTTGATAATCGTTTTATACCGACAACTGAACTTTCAGAGACACCCCGCGATGCCTGAAAGGCGCCGATCGATTTGTCCATGGTAACCAACAACCATACCAATGATTCTATAAACTGGCGAATGGACTTTTAATGTACTACTTGCTTTTTATTATACTTATCTTTCACTAATTATATTTGGCATATAAAAAAAAAAAAAAAAAAAAAAAAAACAATTATGTCGGCAAAATTTTTTATAAATTATATGAATGTTGTATTATTCTATCGAATTATCGTATTTAAATTGTATATAAAAAGATAAACTTTATTTTCCTTAAAAACTTAAAGATATAATTTTAATTATTAGATATAATTGATAATAATTTATTTACAACTATTAGAACGTCATAATTTCAATAGTATTATTCTACGAATAAAAAGCTAACGGACAATATTTTTTTTAGTTTTAAATCGAGAATTTTATATACAAATATATCAATTTATTAATAAATCGTTCATTAGGTCTCAAAATCAGTCAACTAATACACCTGTCATTATTAAACGTTAAATTAATATTGAAATATTGACAAATGGTATTCAGTTGACACTTATTTTTCAATAACGACAACTATATCTATGATAGTCGTTCTCATTGTTATAAACGATTATAATAACGAAATTGTTGTAAAAATTAAAAATTATTATCATTTACATTGTAGTTTCGTATAATTAAAAATTTAATTAATACTAATGCTTTTAAATAATCAAAATATGATAAATTGTTTCGATTGATGTGCGTGACATTATAATTAATGAGGGAGGTAAAATAATTAATACTAATAAATGGCTCACTATTATTTATTTTCTAAATTCAAATTATCTACTTTTCAATAAATAAGACTGCTTTGCAATGAGAAATATTATCTACGGAAATCGCTTATATTTACATAAACAAATAGTAATAGCCTGTACGTTCTCGAAGTCACATTAACAATTATATTGAAAATATAAATACTATTAATAGTTAACTCACGCTATTTATTAATCAACTTAATATAAAGTTCGTATTTCAATTTTTTTTCAACAATTTCAACATTACAGTTATTAATATTAATATTTGAGCATGTAGTAAAAAGATTTTCAAATTTAATCCGATCATTATTGACGTATAATTAGAATTGGTAATAATGTAATTCTATATATTTTAATGCTTCGGCTTTCTAAGGTAATATGGTAATAGAATAGTATGTAGATAAATATTCAAACGCTTAATCTATTTAGTGCACTTTACAGTGTTTCAATATTTATTAATGCCAACAAAAATTTCTATAAAATTTAATTACATTATTTTGTAAAATATGCATTTAATTATTGAATCTACGCTATAACATGTTCACTGAACGATTAGCCGCTTATAATTTAACTCGGAAATTATCGTAAATGTTATCAATTATGATAAAATTCATGATAAAATTCACATCAAAATGAATAGTATAAATTAAATTTTGTAAAAATTGATTTTACCACTCTAAATGGAAATACAATTCGCATCATAATCTTTTATATTTGTTATTTATATCATTGCAATACGATATGAATTTTAAATTAAAAAAGAATTTTTACATTAGGTATATTTTTTCAATTATATAAGAATAAAATAAGTTGATTTCAAATTTAATAAGAAGTTAAATGTTGATTATAATATATATTATTTTATATATACTTTATTCATTTGTGTGTTAAAATAATAGATAAAATGTAATATGAGCTTTTCTTGACTAGAAAAAAGTTGCAAAATAGATTTGATAAAATGATGATGTAATAAATAAATTATTTTATAAATGTTAATACTGTATCCCTCTCTCTCTCTCTCTCTCTCTCTCTCTATTTTTACACACGCGCGCACGCACGCACGCACGCTGAATGTAACGGTCGTAAATAAAATTATTAACAAATTTTGATGTTTTTAACTAATATTATTCTCCTTTTACAAATTTTAACATAAAAAAAACCAATGTTTACATACAGTTCTCAATATTTAGTATATAACGTATATCAATGTAGATTTTTTATTTACCAATACTTATATTGATATTTATATACACGGGGTTTTGTTTGTTTGTTTTTTTTTTTTTTTTTTTTGTTATAAAGTACATAAAAACAATTATATTACTTATTACTACGTTAAATTTAAAAATTTCATGTTTCTTTAAAAAATACGGCAGTAACATACTTTACATCAACTTGAAATTGAACAAGTAGTTTCTTCTTTAATTTGTATATTTTATAACGTATGTAGGTATATATGTATGTTATAAAAATGTAAAAGACATTAAAACGCGTAATTTACATAAAATAATCCTAATTAAACGATAGAGCTATAATTATTGCTAATATGGAGAATAATAATAAATCGCCTTTTATGTTTAATTTTTGGAATAAAACATATCATAATTGACACGTAAAATTATATTATTAATAATGTATAACGATCGATTATTAACGGTGGACAAACAAATAGACGAAACTATTGTTAGTTTAGTACAGGCAACCAGAGAACATGCCACTCGCAATACAGACTTTGTTAATGGAAGGGAAGTAGCAATGGTGAAAATATTAATGAAGCTATGCCTTATACATGAACGGTATTGGTCATGCAAATGATCACGAAGGGCTAATTCTTTAAGTAATTCTTTGGTCATTAGGAGTTGAGAATTCGCTGTCCAAGAGAGTGAAAATAGAAGTGCGATGGCGGAAAAGTGAATGTAATGTAAGTTGTCGAAGCGATTCCATCGACCATTACAAAAATCCATTGCTCTATGACAAATAAATAACAATAGTCAATTGTTACGAAGGCAGTCAGTTATATTTAATATAGAATTGCAAATGAAGAAATAAAAGAAAGCGATTATGAGTGTCGAACGAGAGATTATTAGGAGATTATTAATATACTTAATAAGATAACAACAAACTATTTGTTAAATGTAAATATTTGTTAAAACGCAAGAATTATATTATTTTTATTATTATTTTTTTTTAAATAGGAAGCATTATAGTAATTATTTTATAATTATAAATTTGAATTTAAATTTAAGGCTTATTCTTGGCAAATTCCTATTTTAACATACTATATACATACCTACATACATAACAATTTCTTACTCTGTTTTTCGCTTTTTATTATATTTTTTCTCACTCATATTTTTAATGTAATAACGCTCGTCATAAAATGATTTCATCAATAATAGAAAGAATGTTATAATTTTACATAGTTAAACAAAAAATCAAAAGGATTCACATCTTTGCGATGAAAATAATTATTTTCGCGGACCTATAAGTTCAGCGGTAAAGTCGGAATTATAATCGAATTGATACGATATAAGGAAGAGAGGCCAACTGAGGTAAGGCCGCGGTTAATCAATGGGTTGGCCTTGACGAATAGAGCGTACGTATTACAATTTCCACCCACAAGTTTAATAGCTTTGGGAATAAGTTAACTTCTCAATTAGTTATAGATCGAATAATGGCTGCATTCGTGTTCCCCGTATATCCAACTAACACTGTTATCGTAATTAAATAACAAAAATTCGCAAAAATTAATTTTTTTTTATCAACAGTAATGTAAAAATTAATTTAGTAAATAAAATTATTATAATAGTAATGGCGATAGTGGTAGGTGTAATGGTAATGATAGTGGTAGCGGTAGTAGCAGTAGTAATTGTTTTTATCGTCTTTTAATAAAGAAAATTACCATTAGAGCAAAGACCGAGGCGTAATATTAAAGATTAATATATTATAATCGTTATAGTACTAAATGATGAGTTATAGGTGATGAATAAATATTTTATAAAATTTTAATCGCAATTTCCAAAGAAAGCTTACTTATTTATTATAAGTATATCTATTTTTCATATAATTTGGCTTTATAAAATTACGCACTTGTCAACATTTTTTAATGCGTTATCATTTTCAATATTTTTTATTACTTACGTCCGTTACAACTTTTGATAATAATTTATAAATAAAATTTTTTATTATGCTTAAAATATAAAAGCACAAGATGAACGTTTAAACTTATTATTATTATATTTTGATTCCGATTTTCTTCATTAAACATAGATTATCATAAAATAATAATAATTAACTTTGACTGACTTTTTTTTACAGAAATGGCTATAAATAAAAATTACAATGTAATAAATAATTTAATATAAACAATAACATTAAATGAAACAAAATGTTTTAGAGGTATTTCATAACTAACATTAATGTTACTTGCTCAATCTTTTTTCTTTCACTCTCCCATTTTCTATTTAAATCTTTTCCATGTAATTTGAGCTGCATCTTATGATTCATATTTTATTTAGCAGTGAAGTCTGGCCAGTAGTTAATATAATAACGCTGCGTTGAACCTTCGAATAACCTGTCCAACCACATAGGTAGACCATCCAATAGTTTATCTTGGTATAAAAAATCATCTTGTAACTGCAAATATAATTTTGCAAACAATTATATCTATACAAAATAGATGGATATATATATATATATATGTGTGTGTGTGTGTGTGTGTGTGTGTGTGTGTGTGTGTGTGTACATTACTCTAATAAAAATTGAAAAAAAATTTATCTCATCAATAATCAGAGATTAAAATTTTTATAATACATTTATTTGCTCTATAATTTTCATTATTTGAGCTTACTTCGTTTTGTGAAACATCCGAATCAGTAGAGCTGTCAAATCCAATAAATGCACCAGCTTCTGCATCTTGAGGTCGAGCTAATTGCTTAGTAATTTTTTCTATACGCTAATATTGTGTAAAAACATAATTGAAGATAAATTGAATCAACATGTAAAAATATATGCATCTATAAAATTTATAATTATTATCAATACATACTTTAGTAGATCCCTTTCCTTTTCTACATTCTGGATGTTTAGCATGATACATGCTAAAGTATTTACGATGTCCATTTAACGATAAAACGGTTCCCACACAATTTTTAGCGTTGATATTCAATTCTCTAGGTTCTGGTAAACTCAGGATTAAAATTCTTTTATACCATTCAAGTCCTCGCTCCAATGACAAATGGCTGAATAATAAAGTTTTGTTTTTCCTATAGAAAAAAAACTCGTTTAAAAGTCTTATAAAGTTTAATTTACGTAATAAAATATATTTATTTTGGATTTTGTTTTTTGTTTGTTTTATTTATTTTTTTTTTTTTTTTACCTATAAGGCCAAACTGCTCTATGAAAAGATGGTAATAGTTTTAATTTACTTTGAGCATCTACTAAAAGAACAATAGTTCTACATCCTGGTTTGAGTAGTCGCACAAGTCCATTATATGTTTCAGCTCGCATTTCATGAAGTTTTAACTGGGGTTGTGTAGAAACAGCCTTTGAATTCTCTTTAAATTGACCATATTTCGCTTGTATATTAGCTTCTTCCAATTTTCTATCAATACAGATAATAAAATAAGGATTATTTATGAATGTTTAAATATTAAAATACTTTAATTATACATACACTAAATATAACATTCCATAACCAACAGCGCCAATTAATAATAACGTTGCAAGAGCAGAGAGTAAAGGAAGAATCTGTTCTTTCTTGAGGTTATCCGACAGATAATCGACTGCTAGCATTGCCTTACTAATTAATTTATCAACCATACCCTGAAAGTTTTATATTAATTATTTTATTGATTTAGAAAGAGCTGAATAATTAAAAAATTTTACTATGGAAGATAAAGTTTCGATACAATTTAATATATAAAACTTAAGTTATCGAAGAATTTTTTAAAATTAAGTAAAATTTCTGATAGATTTTAGACATAAATTTTACGTTTCCTTCATAATTCACTTGTAATCTTAGCTGTATACAGTAATGGTAGCTTTAATTTATATAATTTTACCAAAGCATGCTCATCCGTTAGTTCTTGAACTTCAGCAGCATACGGTAAAGCTTCAGAAGCTCGTAAAAGTTTTTGTATTGTTTGTTCTAAATTTAAACGAGTTTCGTTCCATTGATTTTCATCTGTTGTTGTTTCGGTCCAATCAACGGAAAACCATTCATACTTTATGTGACTAGAATCTCTTCTCCAAATAATTACAATATGATGCATTGGATCTGGTGGACTGCCTTCGCTACTGGAAAGAGCTGATATGAATTGCGGTTGGGTTTCTTTAAATACATATGCATATTTTACTCGATCAAAGCTAGCGAAAGAAAAAACAATCATTAAAATTTATAATTTAAATAAGATGATTTTTTATAATCATATTAATTTACTTGTACGATGCTGCTAGTGCAGCTTGTCGAAATTTATTTCTTGCTAAGTCATGTTCAGGACTATTTTGTGACACTAGAACTGCGCATAATCGTTTCTGTGGCCTTTGCCATTCTTGTGGACAAACAGAATCTAATACGGCTTGATTCGAAAGTCTCGGTAATATTAGAAATTTATTATTTTTTATCATATTATGCATCATGTCACTTGGAATATCGTGCGTGCTAACAGAGGCCATAGGCTTCTCCGCATTCTCATTAAAGAGTAAAAGAGTATCTAAATCTTCAGAAATTTTATATTTTGTAGTGATAGCCTCTGTTTCTCGAATGCCAGTCTAAATTAAAAAATAAAATGAGTAAATTCGATCATAGAGCATGAAATGTATATATAAAATTTGTATTCAAAAGTTAAACCACTGTCCTTAATTATTAATATGTATGCCGTTAATACCTGAACAAAGCCAAAAACGACATGATCTCTATGGTGTAAGGCAATAATTAAATATCGTAGCCTTGGTGTGTCTCTATTTTCAAATATTAGTGATCTAACCTTATTATCAATCCACCCGGATAGAAAACTATCTACATTTTTGTTATTGATATTATAAAATAGTCTGTATGGGAACTTGCTTCTGAGAAAATCTAAAATATTAAGAACATTATAAAAATATTACAATGCATATACTTCGCTAATGAAGCTTGTACTTAAGTATAAATATCTGATTAATTTGAACATTCGCTTTAAGCTTGCTTTATTATCTTTCCCAATACTTCAAACAATATACAGATTTTAAAAATCGTAATTATACTTACCAATTATTTTCTGAACACTGAATAAGGATTCTTTATATATACTAGTTCGTCCATCGATAGTAATAGCAAGACAAGGTAAGGAATGAACATTCAACTTTCTCGATAAAATTAATTCTCTTTCTGCGTGAACGGTAACTAGATTAATGCCCAATGGTTCGAGTTCGTCGATTAATCGTCGCCATGTAGGCTCCACTTGTAAACAAGCGAAACACCAATCTGAATAGAGAAGTATTAAATGGGGTGTCCGAAAACTCTTTGGTAAAATAGTATTTTCATAAGCTCTGCAAAAAGTATCAATTTTGTTCTTTAAATAAATTGACAATGTATATTTAAATATATAATTATTAATACTAAAGACTATGGGTGAAACAAGTATTAAAAACAAACTCTAAGAAGGAGAAAGTCTATTTATTTAATTCTAAAAATATATTATACAAAATAAATAACCGAAGGAAATAAGGGAATTGTAAAGTAGTCATTAGAAGATACTTAAATGATAGGGAATAAATGAAAAGTATTATTGAAATTCATGAAAAAGTGAATTTTTAAGAAACAAAGTAATATATAAAATTTAAATTCTTAAATTACCTGTGACTAATACTCATCATATGAAATAGAGAAATATCTCTGCTCTGATAATGAAATTGAAAGTTTCCAGAAAAAAAACCTTCAAATGGATCTGGTACATTAAAATTATTACTTTCCCTTCTTTGATTTGGTAAACTTTCCTCGGTTATTCCATGGTTATCAAATTTATTTCTTCTTCCAGGGTCAGACAATAGCTAGACGTAGAAATAATCATACAGACGCATAGACATTAATCTTACTAAGGCAATTAATTATATGTTTAAAGATTTTAATATACCTCGTAAGCTTTTGTTATTTCTACGAATTTAGCTTCGGCTGCTGGATTATCATTTTTGTCAGGATGCCTGTAAAAACATTTCAATTTTTCCTATTATTTCAAGTTATCTTAATATTACCTTAAAACTTACCATTCTTTAACTAATTGTTTATAAGCTTTACGTATTTCCTTTAATGTCGCGTATCTTGAAATACCTAAAATGTGATACGGATTCCCTAAAGTTTCCGCAGCATTGACTAAAGACATTAATTGCACTATGAAGACAAGAGATGTAAGTAATATGAATATTGTTATTGAAAAGCTGATACTCCGTGAATTGATTTTCATATTGTCTTGGTTACTTTTACTTTTAAAAGTATACATAGAAAATGTATTCATTAACGCTATGAATTTATTAAAAAGATTTCTCTCTCCTAGTCCATTTGCATTTTGTACACATACTGATATTTAGATGTATGTCCATGCACCTCAACACCGAACCGTCAATTTCTGTTGACTGCTCTACTGTACTGTAGGGTGCTTTTTGCACTCTCTCGATTTTGATACTCTCCCTCTTTCTCTCTCTCTCTCTCTCTCTCTCTCTCTCTCTCTCTCTCTCCCTTTCTGCCTTTCTGCCCTGTCCCTATCTCTTCCTTTTTTCTCTTATCACCTTTACCCTCTATCACTGCCTTACCAATGGTTATCAATCTCCTCTCACTCTTTATCTCTATTTTTATCTAAATATTACCTCCCTCCCACGCGCTCGCTTGCTCTCTCTCTGTCTCTCTCTCTCTCTCTCTCTCTCTGTCTCTCTCTGTGTCTCTCTACTATATAATATTTAGCACTAAGAGTATTCTCAGTCAATGATACTGTAAGTTTTTACTATTCTGATCTGTACGGTTTTATTAGCACGTACGCGCCAATTTTAACTATGAAAAAAGGAGACAGCAATAGGAGCATAATTAACAAAATATTGTATATACTGATCTGTCAGCCGAGGTAAGTTAGTTAGCTTATCATATTCAAACATAACTTTCCTTAATTATAAATTTTATATTTCTCAAAGATACAATTTATTTTAACATCGCAAAATTCGTAAGAATAAAGTGACTATTGCTTGTTTGAAAGGCATTTTAATTATCAGTCATTTAAAATCGGCAATTTATATTTATAAGAACATTTAGAGGGAAATAATTGTAAGGAACGAATTAATTAATGAAAAGTTTTGTACTATCGAAATAGAATTATGCGCGTGCTCGACAATTATTGTATAATTAGAAAGTGTAATGAAGGCAAAATATTAAAATAAATAAAAACAAAATCCTGTTTCCCATTTTCTTTCATACTTTTTAATTGGTACATCACATATTGCTATTAATTTACGTGTATCTGCGAAATATTGGATATTCAATTTTTTTTTTTTTTTTTTTTTTTTTTTTTTTTTTTATCAAAGCAAATCAAGATAGTATTTAAAAATGTTACTATTATTAGCAAAGATAAGGCATTGTATATAAAGTTATTCAAATAATTCGACAATATAAATTTAATAATTTATAAATATTTTCATTGTTTTACGATTCATTTCATTATTCATAATTCATTTAACAAAAAAAAAAAAAAAAAAAAAAAAAAAAAAAAAAAATGTTTCTATCTGAAAATTTAATTACATGCTGACGATTTCTCATTCAATGATAATAATGTAGTTGTAATATAAATTATAATTTTATATAAATAAAATTTCTTATAAAATTTTTCTATTATCTAGGAATGTATTAAAAGACAATTTTGTGCGTTTGTTAGGTATATTAATTTTAATAGCATATAAAATCCATTTTTCAACAATACATCTCTCGGAAAATAGTATTTATGTATTTATGAAGAATGATAAGTAATATAATGATGATTATAATGATTGAAAAGGTTTTAAAATATTTTTTAATTGATATTAAAATTTACTCATACATATGTATCGCGCGCATCCTCATATAAGTATTTAAAATAAATATAATAATCTGTATTTTCAATTATGATAAAGGTAATGTTCTGTCTTATTTGCAACGCTGAACATACAACTTAGGAAAAATTAATTTGCTTTAAAAAATAATTGTTAATATTGCTATCATAAATTGTATAATATACCATTATAAAGTAAAAAAAAAAAAAAAAAAAAAAAAAAAAACCCCAACAAACGAAATATAGCGTATATTTTAATATTTTTCAATATTAATTTACAATCGATTAATTGACTGATATCGTCACGCGCAAAGTTGGTAGTATATAGTCAAGGACTAGTATGTCCTATTTGCCCCAAAAAATGAAAGCGACATTATTTTTAATGACTCGGGCTTCTCAGCATAATTTATCCTTTTAACGTGCGATAATTTACGTTTTTGATATACTTTTTGCTCAACCGTACTCTCTCTCTCTCTCTCTCTCTCTCTGTGTATTCAATATTCAAGCACTTGAAGCAAATAAATTTATATTGTAATAATAAAGTCTTTATTCATTACGTAAATGTCGATATTTTTACGCTTTCATTTCGTTTCCAAAGGCTTTATCTCGCAGTCTTACATCGTTTAAATGAGTTTAGCAAAGACGCTCAAGTTTAATGATTTAAAAAGCATTTTGCCTGCGTAACGATTCTAAATTTTTAAATAACGTCCAACGAATTTTCAATTATGTTTTATTAAATAATGATTTTTCTATCGAGACTCGAGTAACTTTATGAAACTGGACTATATGATGCCTCGGTCAATCTAAATCTGATTTTAAAATCCCCGATATTTCCCTCTGGCCTAAATACCTAAATAACTTATGTACTCTCATTGCTTCACCCTTTACAAAATATTCATTTTTTTTCCATTCCAGTACCATAACTATTGCTTGCATTTTTTAATTACATGCATTTCTAAAATATTATTATTGAACGTCCTTCTCGATGAGCTTCCAAATTGACCTTTAACAATAAATATCCTTCTTTAATACTAAAATTCTGAAAGAATTAAGTGTAAATAATTTTTCAGTTATTAACTACGTTTTCCCACAGTTTATAATATTGAAAGAATTACAATTCTATTTAAACTTTAGCTAGTTTCATAAATTATTAATATTGTTCGATCATTATTTAAGGCAAAGACAATTCTTCAAATTCACTTTTACCACTTTATGTAATAGACAAGCCTATTAACTTTTACATTTAGCATTCTAAGCCAAATTAATTATTAATAATATTATTAATAATAATTTATTAAATTTAACTAGAAGAATAATACAAATAATTAGGTAATAAGCACATAATTACATACAATAAATTAGTAATGATGATCGACTTATATAAGGAATAATCAAAATTTTAATACAACTAATTGCCGAAAGACCTTAAAAGTGTACAATAATGTTTAAAATACTAGCAGTCAGTTAAAAAAAAATTATTTAATTAAATAAACTGTTTTAAAGATATATTTACATCACGCTTTAAATTATTTACTATTTACACACGTACATATTTATTTATACAATGTTTTTATCGAAATTAAATTAATCCTTCAATTTATCTTTTAGACAAATTTTTTATGTTTATTCAATATACATTTATTATATTCGCGTATTAGAAGTCAGACAAGTTTAATGATATATGTTTGTGTATGTGTCACATAATATTATATACAACCAAATATCCAATTTCTATAATATATCATTGTAATTGTTAAGATCATATATATACTATTTAGGGGAGAGGGTTCGAACGCAAATAATAAAATATGTTCTAATCGTAATTAGGCTGCTCAATAATCTTACAAATTTATTTTATAAATCATTTAAATAAAAATTGTTAATCATTAAAATAATCATAACTTTGTTGGTCATCATAACTTTTCATCAACGCTATACAGCAATTTACGACTAATAACGCGTAACAATTGCCTTATAAGTCTAAAGCTCATTTTCTTTATAATTTTTATTTCTTTAAAGTTATTTTACTTATTAGAGATGTTAATATTTAAATTCTTGTGTACGAACGGATCGTTATGAATGAATTTGAGAGACATTTGGAAAGATATTACATAAACTCTACTTTTTTTTTTTTTTTTTTTTTTTTAAACATTAGTAGTACTCTTCGTGAATATCAAAATTAATAAGTTGACAATTAAGTTCACGATGACGACATATGAATATAAGTAGAACAGGAGAGGTAGGGAGAGAGAGAGAGAGAGAGAGAGAGAATAAAAGTAACAAATTATCAATTATCGATTACGTGAACGCAACTTCTCAACAGTCAATTTTATCGCTGATATTAAAAATTAATATTGACAAGCTTATGAATTTAATTTATCTCTCAACCAGAAATTAAACTAAACAAATCCCCAGGAGCCTCGGTAGAAATTTATCAAAGAGTCGAAAGCTTTGAATCAATAGTATTTTCATATGATCATTCGTAAAAGAAATTCTATTAAAAATTCCTGTACTTTATCATATTAATGGGAATTTTCAATCGCAGTTTATATTTTATTGTTAAACAAGTTGAGATTAAAAAAAAATAAAGAATAAGAATAAAAGACAGTGGTAAGGGGGTTGCCCCTGACGCCGTATAATTTTCATTTTCTTTCAATCAATAAATTCTAATAGACTGCTCGATGCTCCCTTATGCATAAATATACGAAAAGCGTTTAATCACTTTCACATTGTCCTTCCTGTACGTTTAATTTAATAATGCGCGTAAACAGCAACCAATGGCAGTACAACGGCTATTGCGCCTATGATGAATCACAATGGATTGGACATGAAATGAGAAAATGAGGGACAACTTCAGTGTGTGTGAATTCTAGTTGGAAGTCGCTTCGTTCGCACGTGGAATGAAGCTATTTATCTTATGATTTTGGTAAATAATATCTATGTATATTTTGAAAAAATCATTTTGTACAAAAATCCAAGAATTTTTAGCATTGTATCGGCGATTTGCAAATGTTATTAAATGTTAATCGATAAGTTTGTAAATAAATAAAAGTGAATAAAAATAGATTAACTAATCGATAAATGTTCAAGTTTCAACTTAATTACGAAAGTATAAGCGACGTTTCCTGCTAGAGTTTGCTTAATTTTATTTCAATCTTATTAATGCAATAAATTGTGGATATCTGTTTAATTATTTTCAAAACGTATACGCCTAAACTGAAATATAAAACGTACACAATTATGATGTACTAACAGAAAATGAGTGTATAAACAATTTTTTAATATTGAATAAGTTAAAGCAAGTTTCATTTAACGAAGATTTGTTTTTTTCCCCAAACTGAACAAAACTTTTATTCAAAATGTCCTAATGTCCTTTTCTTGTAATATTTCACATATGCCATCGTTAATGGAAAAATTATAACTGTAAAATCATGATGTAATGTATTATTGTTTGTTTTAAAAACAAAATGTTTAGTTCAATAGGTAAACAAATTTTTAATAAATAGGATTGAGAAATTCTTTTCATTCGAAATATTATAATAGAGAAACAATTTATTGAAATAATGTAGGTTTATATGTTTTTCTAAGAAAGTAGATTAACGCAAATAAGTTCTGTAATTATTAATTTTCATCTTTTCAAATATCGTGAATTGCTTTAATGCTATTAAAGCTTGTAATTAATCCTTGTAATATCCTTATTAAATCTTGATTTAATAAAATATTTGGATATTGTTTAGCTTCGAACAAGATTATTATAACCTTAGCTTATTATGCTTATAAAAACAGAAGAAAAGTCAATATTGATATTTAATGATAATTATTTTTATAATTTATAGGATTCTCTATGGTGGACATGAATTCATTTGTGATTAGAACAATTTTTAATCTAGTTAAATTAAAGAATATATCAAAATGCTCCTATTCAACTACTAAAAAACATGTAATTCTCGATGAACTACAAGCGGAAGATAAACCAGCTTTTGTGATTGAACCAAAATACAATGAAGATGAAATTAGAATAATGAGAAATAAGTCACGACTAAATCGTAAACACGAGAATATTTTAAATAATAAAAAACCCTACGATCAAAGTGTGGAATGGTATCACGATAGTGTGTGGTATCGAAGAAGAATGTTAGGACGATATGGTATAGAAGCCGCAAATGTTTCTCCTGCTATAGCTTGGCCAACGATAGAGGAGATAGAAGATGTTAAAGAAAAGGAATCCCTTTTATACCCACATTCGATACACGAAGCATTAAAAGAAATTAAAGAAAAAAAAGAGGCAGACGCTCAGAAAATAATTAAAAGGTAACATATGTGCTTAATTGATTAATTCTTAACTATTTTGTCTGGCTGTGAGCAGCGATGATTTTAAACTTGGACATTTTATGTTTTAAACATCGATCAAACAATATTATCCATAAATGTGCAAATAAAATCTTTTTATAATTGCAGTTCTCTGAAACTGTATTTGATATAGTTCAGCAATTACATGTGTAGCCGTTAGAAGATGTAATTTATAAACAAGTTTGACATTGTTGTTATTCAATTAAAAAATTTATAATTTTTATATCGAATAGGTTTTACAATTATACTCATAAATAGTTTGCAATTTACGTGAAAATTAAAAAAAAATTAATTTCAATATCCATAATATTGATTATTAAACGAAAATTAACGCACATTTATCAAATTTTCATTTTACTATTTAATTAATTTAGTTAGTTTTATCAAACTTTATTTATAATCTGACAAAAATGTAAATTTATTTTAGAGAACAAGAGATTAGTAAGGTAATAGAGAAATTTGACGAATGGAAACTTGCCTTGAAGGAAAAAATTAAAAAGAAAACCATTGCGAAATATGAAGCAAGAGCTAAGAAACAAAAATCATTAGAAGAAATTAAAGAAAAGTATGGTTACAATATCAATCAACGTGATGCAAGAGTTAAAGAATTATTGCTAGAACAAGCAATAGCTGATAAAAAGAAGAAAAAGCAACAGAATAAAGAGCAAAAAACTAAAAAAATAATGGAGTTTATTCAGAAACAACACGAGAAAGAAATTGAAGAAGAAAAAGCTGATAAATAAACATAAAATCAAATGATCAAATTTGATTCATAATTATTTAAAATAAAAAGTAGTTCTAAAATATAAATATGTTTAAGCATTATACGTATATGCTTATCGTCATATGTACATATAAAGTTGTTAAAATATCGAAATATATTACATTCAAATTATCATTAACGAACTATGTTGCATCTATTTTGATTGAATTTCCATTTTAAATTATCTTTATCTATTTTTAACAATTTTAATTTTGTATTCCTAATTTTTAATGATAATGAATTATGTCCATAAACTTGATTGTAAAAACTATTTGCAGGATACTTTAATTTAAAGATACTTATTAATTTATTTATTTGAAATATAATTTGATTGTTGCAATTAAACGGAAAAGTAAAGATTTCTATATAATAATTAATAAAAATAAAAGTTTCAAAAACTTATGAAATAGTCAAAATATTATTTAGCGTTTTCAACAATGTTCTTTCATTTCTTTTTCAATTCGTTATCGATGTAAAGCACTCCGAAAAAAAAGAAATTATTCATTTTATAGAAAAAAAAAAAGAAAAAAAAGTTGCAAATTAATCATAATTTTATAATTTCTTATTTTTAATGATTTAGAATTCAAACATTTCAAATTTACGTACCAATACAGTAACAAAATTTGTAATAAAAAAGTAAATTTTTATAACATTAATGAAATTGTAAATATTATATTTAATATTCTCTTAGCTAATAAAAAAGGATTATACATGAGTTTATAAGGACTAAGAAAAAAGTGATATTTTAGTTGCATTGGTAATAAATTACGCATATTTGTTTGCACAACTTAGGCACTGTATTTTGTTTATTGATTTCCTTTTGTCACGTGAAAACTGAAAAAGAGCATAAAAGCAGAGATATGCGTTATCATTTTATGCGTTTTTTCCTCATAATTGTCTGTTTCCATTATTATGACTGAGCTTATTAATCTTCATAATTGACGATCACTGACTCGAAACCTAAGGTGCGTCGGTGATCTGGAAATGAGTATTCCGATAATTGACCTTTGTTTACAATGTTGTCTTCCAGATTTCGTGGATCTTCTAACTTTGATTCGTCAATAAAAATTACATGGAGTTTGCTTTTAGTATTGGACGGTCGATTCGAGTGTCAGGCGGACTGCAGCTGCGAGGGCGATGAAAACTCATAAAACTGGAAGCTTAACTCCTCGCCAAAGAGATTATCAGCTGTGACAATTTCCGACTCGGCCACATTTAGATTCAAAGAAGAGGGATTCAAATCTGTTACTAAATAGCCTTCGCTGATCAGGCCGCATTCCTCGGCTACAACTTCTTTGGATACGGGATTTAAAAAATCTGCGAAACGTTGAAAAGTTTATTTTATGTTGCTATTTTATTATCATTGGCATTTATTAGTTAACGAAAGCTATGGCTCTTTTGATATTATACGCATTTTTTCTTTTTTTTATTTTCTTTTTTCATTTTTCTTTTTTCTTTTTTCTTTTTTCTTTTTTTTTTTTTTCTTCATCGTTCTATTTATAATATTTCTAATAAAGCAGTAAAAATAGTTATAGATTAAATTTACTTTACATATAAATGCAATATTTATATAATTCAACAGAAATAAATAATCAATGTTAAGTGCGTGGGGCTGACATAATCGTTTTACGTAATTTTCATTTCTTTATTTAATCATTGATTATGAGTCAAATGACAAAGTTCAAAACTATAAGATATACAAGTAATTACGATTATTTTTATTATTATAGTAAAATTGTGAATAGAGTGGACGAATAAAAACGTGAATTTATTTCGATAGTTTAATTAACGTATTCGTTGAAAATTAATTGAAATTTGATTGAAATAATAACTTAAATTGCTGGATATATTGAATTCGATTGTTTATTAAATCCATCCATGTTTTTAATCAAATTAATAAATCATTAATGTGCTTGTATTAACGATAATTTTATAAAAAAAAAAAAAAAAAAAAAAAAAAAAAAAAAAAGAAAGAAAGAGACGAATGAAAATATATACCTGTTTCTTTCACAGGACAATGTTGATCTGACTGCTCATTTTGGTGGCACTGTTGATTATTAATTATTTCTCCGTTACTCGACACCATCATCGGTACAAGATATTGCACTTCAACTTCTCTCTTAATACCACTCAGAATTTGTTCAGCACAATGCTCCAACGTTATGGAATCCACGACATTATCATCTTCATCGACGTTTTCAGTTATACTGGCTGTAGCTGCTGCAACTTCGTCCATCGTAACTAATCGCCTGTTAACAATTTATTTTTACTCAGAACGTAATAATACTACGATTGAAAGTTCGTTTCAAAATGCATACGTTAATTATCAAGGCAATTTAGTAATTAATTTCTTTTACATACAACATTGTATCATCATTCACTTTTAACTAGTTTGTAAGTGGTTCAGGTAAATTTACATGCACGTTGTACTATACGAATCTTATAAAAATTCAGTTTGCTGTACGTATATTATTTTATTAAAAATTCTCTGATTTTCAATAATAACGCATTGCTTTTAACTGAAAAATTATATTTATATTATGAGTATTAGTTATTACATACATCGTTTCCCTAGAATTAAGTTTTGAAAATTATTTTATTTCTCTGTTATGAGTGACGACTAATTTAAATTACTCATTTTCAGTTTTTACACTATTATGATATAAAACGCAAAAGTAATTTAGTCATTAAAGGTTGATATAACTTGAACAAAGACATACAACACTGGATAAATATTCCTTTTCAATACTCGTTTATAGAACAACATTCTCGACATTCATATACGTTCAGTTTGTATGAAAATTTTCAATTCTTTTGAATTTAAAAAGTCATAAAAATTTTATAATTACTTTAACAGTCATATTACTAAAATAAAATAATATAAATATTTTAAAATATCAATAACTTTTAGAAACTATTCGTTTCTATTAAATATATTATTTAAACGTTTATTAAATAATTAAAATTGTTGTTTTTTTTTTCTAACATAAAATTATATTTACTTCATTTCATACATAAATTGCATATTGAATATCGTTTTCTATTTAATTTGTTGTTTTTTTATTCCACTTAATAGATTTAAATGCATTATTATACATTCTTGTATCTATGATGCTTTTGAGCGTTTTACAAAATTTTAATATTTTTACTATTATAATTATTTCTGTTTCGACGAATATCACTAACATTTATTCAAAATTCTTTATTATCCATATAGTTTTAAAAGCATTATAAGGTGACATATCGGAAACATACTATCTCGTTACATTTTCAAGTGAAAATATTTCTGTATATATATTTATTTATTTATATTATGAATTCTTTATAGTGAAATAATTTATAAATAGTATTATCAATTTATATAAGTTTTTTGATCAATTTCCTACAAGCATTTTGTAATCTTACATTAAAATGTTTGAATATACAAATTGTAACTTATTTTAAAAGATTACATAAATTTTAGAACAAATTACTGTCATTATATTATGCTAATTAATGTAAATTTCCTTAAATATTAAATTAAATATTAAATATATTAAATATTAATATATATATATTTTTATATTAAATATTAATATTTCTGATTTTTAATTATAAGTAAATAATTAAATAATAATTTCTTTATTTATACATTCCATCTCTATCATAAATATAATAATTTTATTTTATGGCTGATAATATTTTCGAGAAATAGTTCATTCTTGCCAATCATGCTTGTAACATTGTTATCCATTATATCAAGCTTAATTGATTAATATTTTATTATTATTACTCGCCGAGTATGATTCTCTAGTTATTTATCGACGATTGTATAGAGCAGATTGTTGAAAATGTATTATTACTTAAAATAAATGCCATGCAAATCAAATATAAAAAGAAGACTGATTTCTTATATAATGCATAAAGAAATAATAGTGAAAAATTAAGTTGATAAATTGATAATATTGTTATTGCGGTTTTGCTTGTGATTGCGTAGATATTGAAATATCCATTATGTTAAAACATACGGATGAAATAACTTATACAGTTACATTATCTCTTTGAAATGTAATATTTTATTAATAATATTAAATAATAATTGAAGCTACATTATAGATTAATCTAGTTGTTACGGGAATTATTTGAACTAGTTCTTAATAAAATTATTATCCAGATAGAAATTGAACGAGATTGTTAAGCTTATTTCTTATTTCAGAAGAACTTGTATACGAAGTATTTGTTAACTAATTACTTGGATTTCTGAGGGCAGTTAATTTTGTCAAATCATTATACTTTTATTCTTAAAATCTTAAATCTTAAAATATTCTTTAAAAACTTATTAGATTCCAATATATTCATTATGGTTAATACTTTACTTAATAGCAATAGTTATATGTAGATTGATGATTAGATGAATTTAAACTTTAGCGTTAACATTTATTTGTTGGGCCTATTATGACGGAAATGGAAATTGTAAGTATCTTTGTTTGATTCGGATAAAAATATATTTGATAAAGTGGTTAAATAGTCGGAATAACAATGCGAAAAATTGCAGAGTAATAGTAAAATATTCAAACTTCTTGATGAATATAAACTGATACGAGAATTCAATGTCAATGGAGCAATCACTGACAATTGTATTTATGGCATTGATCCAGGTCATAGGTCCAGCAATTTTTTAATATATATTTTACCACACATACAATAAATTGAAAATTGAAAATTGAAAATTCAAACTCTTGTAAACAGAAATCGAATGCTAGCACATAAAGATAGAGTTTTCTATAAAATATTTATATTTATTGTATAAAATCCGAGATTCTTATGCTTTATTATAAATTTTGAACGAATTAGACTGTTTTATTAGCACTCGGTTCCCAAACTCGCAAATAATAATATAGCAACTACACGTATATGGAAAACTATATGTACATAATATTAATGTTTACGATATGTTGAACAAACATTGAACGGTGTTAAAAATACTTGCGAAAATTCTATTTTCATTGATAATAATGGCTTTCATTGTACTACATTAGTTTTGTGCTTTTGCAGCTACCTCCTAACGTGTAGACCTTAAGGAATAATTCCACTCGGGCAGTGTATAATTTTCATTTAAACAAACATTAATATAGTAAAAAAAACTTGATATTTCACATTCTAATAAATCAAGCGCTAATAAAAATATCCGAGTTTATCACAATTCCTTATTAAAATGCCTTATGTTTTAAACATTTATTTAAGTCCAATGATTGCGCAAATAAATTTATATCTATTATATCAATATAAGATTATCTAAACTCGAATTCTCTTTAGATTCTATTAATAAAACCTTTTATCAATGAAATGTTTTATATATAATATCAATGTAAACATAATTACGACAATTAAGCAAATAAACATACGAATCAGTTTTCGCCGAAATGTTTTCTTCGTTTTTCAAAGCTTGTCTGATTGTGGTTATATCAAAAAATTGTCGTGGTTTGGATTCATCTTGACTCGCTATTGCCCATAAATGACCAGCCCCATGTGGTGCCTTCGATCCTTTGCGAAAATGTGGATTTATAGATAAATTATGTCGAACAGAATTCTTCCAGCGATCATCGTTGCTTTTGTAGTAAGGAAAATGCTCTCTGTAAAATGAAATAAGTTACTATTGTTATTAATTTTACTATTGGTGATATTTCACGAGTGTTCTGTTAAATTTCTAATTAAATTAAACTAACGAAATCTTTTATTATGAGTATCACATACATAATTCCTAATGTATACTTTAAATTATGTATGTAATAATAAATCATAGGCATTTAAATAAGCAAAAAAGGCAGCAATAAGACAGACCATAATTAAATATATATATATATATATATATATATATATATAATATATTTTATTAAGATAATCAAAAGAATTATTTCTTGTAAATTTGTTCAATGTTCTCCTTACTCAGCAATAACAAAGATATTACATTATAATCGAATGTTAAATAATTTTAATATTATGTAAATTGAAATTTTTGTTTTCGCAAACCGTTATATAATATACTTCAAGTCTTATATATATTTGTTTTAATTATAATTGTAGTTGTAAAATTTGTATCAACGGAAATTAAAGTTAATCGTCCAATATTACTTTACATCAAGCGTAAGGACGAATCAATATATATATATATAATTTTTATATTTATTGTATTGAGTGTAATATAATGATTAGAAGAAAAAGGTAAGTACAATAATTGATTATTATAAAATTATCCACTTCAACTCGAATAAAAATAAATCTTACATAAATAATAGTAAATAAAGCATATATAGACTATATTGTTATATGTTAATTTTATATTTCCGTAACGTACAATCAAAGTACATATTTTTCGAAATAGAAAAATGAAAATAAATCTGCATTTAAGATTGAATCATTATATACATTCTATTGAGACTATATTTTACGATTACAAAGAAGATCTACAAATACAAAAAAATAAATTAGAAATCGTCGGAGATAAGTAAGTAAAGAACATCACTGATGTCTAAGGTCTCCAGTGCGCAGGTCTAAGTAGTGACAGGCACGCGAAGGTACCAAGTAAATGTTTTTCTTCTGCTGTACTTTTTCCCCCTTCAATTCACGATATCCATCTTTATCAAATCTAATTTTGGTTATTTATTTTCAACCACTGTAATCATCCGTCAATATCTGTGATTGTGATTACGGTAATATGATTTTTCAATTAATCTTGAACAAATATTGATTTCAGGATCGATGCACTTATCAAATGCAAGATACATAAGAGTATGATTTAAGCAATTAATTTTAAGCTAATTCGTATATTGAATAACAATTTTTTTAAAACTGCATCTTTCAAAATAGATAGAATTCGGTCGATATATTAAATTGATTGAAAATATAAAAATTACATTATTAAAATTTCGTTTGCTTCCACGTTATTTCAATAGAATACCTTCCTTTTTTATTATAAAAATATTTATTATAATTAGCTATACATATACATATACATATATATATATATATATATATATATATATATATATATATATAAATAATAAATTAAAAAACATCATATTTTGGTGACAATATCGAGAAGTTACTATTAATGAAAATATAGTAATTTTTAAGGATAAAAATTGGCCTTGAACAATTTTGTACATTGATAATTGATTTAGCAATGCTTATTTACTAATGCCGCTATAATTCGTTTAAAAATAATCATTAACATTGCTATATTCTCTTACGATTGAAAAAACATTATTAAATTCTAATGTATTTAAAAAAATTAAAATAGCTTTGTACGAAAGGACTTGCTTTCTTACTGTAATTGTATAAATTTACGAATATAAGTTAATAAAAATATAATTTTGTATGTGATTATTATGTATACTCGATTATTGGAATTTTGCAACAAACTGTCAAACAGATGGTCGACTACTATATAACTAATTTTAAGTACAAAAGCAGACATTTCCGATATGCTTTCGGTAGATGAAATCGGCCCCTACGTAAACGCAGTAATCACTGTAAAGAGGAATATTTTCAAAGGTCATTAGCGGTTAAAGTCCAAATAAATTGATTTTATATATCGAGCTGACATGGCGAGACGATTGACTTTCGAAACTCTAATCTTTCGATGCGTTTATGGGAAGGAATGAGTCGGTAAAAAGTAACATTTTCAATATCCGCGCTCCTCCGAGGGGCAAGAAAATACTCAGTCCAAGTAGTACAAAAGTGGCTCGGGTGAAGTTTAGTGTCGCGGGGCCAATCAGAAATAACCTACTACCCTCTCCCTCTCCCTCTCCACCCACCAAAAAAAAAAAAAAAAAAAAAAAAAAAACTCATTAAAAAAATAAAGGGATGAAGAGGGAGAGGGAGAACGAGAGGGAATAGTTATATTTTATTACAGTACGAGATCTCCCTCGTATGCTTTTCTAGCGGCTAACGTGTGCGCTCCGCACAAGGCAAGTTTAACGGATGCATTCGTGACTATGCGTCACAGAACATTAACCACCCTGCGTGCAATTATTTCGTTTTTCTCTTATACACCTGTCGAGGGTGAGAATGGAGTAGGATAGAACCAAGTGATCCGGCTACGAATGCATGCACGCATTGTGCTACGGAGGCTAATCGTCGTATTTACGCGCTTCATCGCATCCGTGTACACGTGCCGCCCTTTACTTAACTTTCTACATGAATATATCCGTTTCTGCTAACGTGTACTTAATACGTAAACATTTGTATTCTTGCATCCTTTTGGGAATTTCCTCACTGATAAGGGTTGCTTGCTTTTTCGTTCTTTCATTCTTTCTATCTTTCTTTCTTTCTATCTTACTTTTCTTTAGTATCTCCACGGGCATAAATTTAAATCAATGGCTTCGGTGTTTGGCTCTATGTCATTTGTAATCGTGTACATGTCTGTTGTTATGTTAAGATGTTAAGATGTTAAAAACATGTTATGGACATGTTTTTTGTTGTTGATTTATCATTATTATCATTATTATTATTATTATTATTATTATTATTATTATTATTGTTATTGTTATTATTGATTAAACCATTAATTTGACAATTACTTTTATAGTTACAAATAAGTTTACAATAAGTCTGATATTTAGATTGTTTAATCTGATATTATACTGCAAGTTCTATTTGTACAAATCTTTTTGAAAATGCTAACCTTATATTTTTAATTACTTTAACTGTTTAAAAAGAAAGCAAAAAACAAAAAATGTATAACAAAAATCGTTCCGACTTTTATTTTTAAATCTTTTTTTCTTTTTTTTATAATGCCAGTAATTTTACATTAATTTTACAGGTTAAATCTAAATGAGTATTTTTATTAAAATAATGGCATATTTTTAATTATACAGAGATGAGAGAGTGAGAGAGATGAGAGAGTGAAAGAGATGAGAACGGATCAAATGTCCCTTAGTCGTATCAATTTCTTGAAAAAATTACAAATTTCTGAAAAAAAAAGTCGAACACTTTCTATGAAGAATATATCGAATGTAATAATGTACATTAGTTTATGGAATAATAATAAGAACAAAGTCTCGATACAATTATTATTTTTCTGATGAGCTCGAATTTCGAATTATTATTATTAATTAAGCAGAGAGAATAATAATGATAACTACGTAGTCTATGTTCGTAGGAAGTAATTTACAAATATTTACCATAATTATTCATGTGCTTATCTTTTATAATGCCTAGGCAATATTTTAATAAATAATATTATAATAATTACGGTATAAGAAAATTAGCTAATAAATTTTATCAAATTTTAAAGATTAGTTCCGATCTCTATTTCTATCTGACTCGTGTACGTTGAAAATAAAATAAAAAACATTTTATTTTATTAATAATCTACATTCTTTTTAACTATTAATTTATTAAATTTTTGATAAATGGAAGATTAAGTTGATCGATGTAAATACTTTCAATTACATTATTATTAAGATATGTGTAAGTTGCACGATTTGTTTTATGATCTACGATACACATTCACATGACATTTTAAAAATTGTAATAATTGGTTATACAATAAGGGATTTAGAAAGAAATGCAAAAGTTCTTAAAATTAATTCAGTTAACATAAAAATTAGACGATATTTCCTCGATTTTGTGATAAGTTCTCTTTAGAAATTGTATTAAATTAAAAATGTATTCTGAAAAATAAAGACTTTACAAAATTTATAATTTTTTATGTATAAAAAGTATAGATTATTGCTAGTAAGGAATATAAAAAAATAGAAAGATAGAACCAATTGATCAAATCTTATATAGTTTGTGATAGAAAAATTTAAGGAAAAGAAAACTTCTGATATAATATAATAACAGCCCTTAAACTAGACTAGCGATTGCTTTCACCCGCCATGATCGAACAGGTGAAAATTTACTAGTGAAAGGAGAGAAAAAGCTAAAGGAAAGTAATTCCCAGACAGACAGCCTTTATGGGGGG